TTCGACCACTTGAAGCTTCCAAACAGCCTTCAAAAGCAACCCCACAAAGAGCATGTTGCAGTAGTCTATTCGAGATGTGATAAGAGCACGGACTACCATGGCCAAGTCTGGCTTCTCAAGGTATGGGCACAAGTGGTGCACAAGTTTTAATTGTGCAAAAGCTCCCCTGGCCACCGCCTAGACCTGGGGTTCCAGGCTCAATGATGAATCCAGGATCGCTCCCAAACTGTGAACCTGTGTCTTCAGGGGGAGTGTAACCCCATCCAACACAGACTGTAACTCTATACCCTGTTCGGCCTTGCGACTAACCAGGAGTACCTCTAGATTCAGTTTCAATTTGTTCACCCTCATCCAGATTGTCACAACGGCCAAGAACAGTTTCAGGACCCGAACAGCCTCCTTAGCAGCAGGTGGAAAGGAGTGATAGAGTTGGACATCATCTGCATACAGAGAGAAGAGCTTGGCGGGTGGGCTAGACTCCTCTGGTCTGCCACAATTTTGGAATATTAGAGAGTCTCTTATGTAGCAATATTTCTTGCTGCTGTTGTTCCCAAGTGTTAAATGAACGATAAATGTTTATCCAGCCTGAAACATCCTGGTTTAATCTCCGTTCCTGGCAGATGCTGACTCTCCTTAATTGGTGCTGGTAAACATAAGGAGCCTTGTGTTGGCTTCCTTCTTAATGTAAGGAACCTTGAAAACATTTCCTTAACTTAAAGAGCCATTGTCTCTAATAATGTAAACACGTTTTTCACCAAAAATTAAACAGATAATCATTTGTCACTGTTCTCATAAGCAACTTTTAGTTTCAGTCCATACATTCTTCACCTCTTTCTTGTAGTTTTCCAGGCTTCATCTTAGGATGACTGGGATGATGCTTTCTGCATGTACCAAAGTGTGTATGATGTATGAGTATTTATACTTCATCCATAATCTAAAAGGACTGTCAGGGCACCTTAAAAATAATTAATGTGAGAGTTTCAGGGCCATTATTCTTAGAATCTAAATAAGACACAACACATAAGGAAAAAATAGAGGCAGAGGGGTAAAAGATTAAGTTCAGTTGTGAGTTTTAAATGTAATTTCAAATGTATTTCTTATATTTTTATCTAAATCCCTCATTTCTATTTTATTGGGGGGGGGGGTTGCATTTGCATCATTTTAAACTATAACCAGACACACACACACACACACACAATAAAGTGATATAAGAATAAATCATAATTTTGTGCACAAAATCATTGCAAGTATAATATAAAATGACCTTCAGGCTATGTATATAATGTAAATAATGAACATCATTTCATTTTGTGTTTAGATTTGGGTCCCATCTCCAAGCTATCCCATGCAAATAAAGGTACATATTCCAAAATTCAGAAAAGATTCAAAATCCGAAACACATCTGGTCCCAAGCATTTTGGATATGGCATACGCAACCTGGAATAAATAATGCCCCACATGCAAAGTTGTTTTTATAGAACCTGTTGTATCCAACGGCACGAATGACCCCTTGTTTCCGACAGCTCTATTTTTCCGTGCCAATCACGCAATTGGGAAGCTGTTTAAACGCCCCTGGGTATGTAAACTGGGTCAATGCAAAGCTCACTTAACCTCAGCGAGAACAGTGTGTGTAAGTAAGCAAGCTGTGACACTTCGGGTGAAATCCTGATCTTATTAAAGCCCATAGCAACACATTTCTTGTTGACTCCAAAATACAGTTTCACCTTCAGCAAGTGATGCAGGCAGAATGGACGTGGCAGCAAGAAATAGACTCTGAATTGTAGGATATAACCTTTGCTTATGGTTAAGGACTAGTTTTGTGCCAAAGAGAAAATGAAAACAATTTTCCTCTCCAAATGATGTTATAGGATCAGGAAGCATCAAACAGTACAGGACTAATAGGGCAAGATCAACCCATGGATATCCTTTTGCTAGATAAACCAAGGACGTTACAGGAATTGAACATGTAGGTAATTGCTTATTCAAATAATAATAACAATAGTTATTATTATTATTATTATTATTCTCATCTGCCAGTTGCAAAACGCCACCTTACTCGGATCTGCACACATTATTCAACAGTACTTCACACAGTCTAAATACTTGGGAAGTTTCCAATGTGTGATCCAATACAACAGCCAGCAGAGTGATCTTGTTTGCTGTGTACTAATCTTGTTGTGTTTCTAATGATGATGATGATGTCACCTGGGATGCTGCAATCCCAGGCAACAGCAGGATTGAAGAGAAACAACTGGAAAAGCTGACACGATATGAGGATCAAACTGCAAAGGCTCTGGCACAAGTCAGTCAAGGTGGTCCCAGTGGTGATCGGCACACTGGGCGCAGTGCCTAAATCATAGAATCATAGAATCAAAGAGTTGGAAGAGACCTCATGGGCCATCCAGTCCAACCCCCTGCCAAGAAGCAGGAATATTGCATTCAAATCACCCCTGACAGATGGCCATCCAGCCTCTGTTTAAAAGCTTCCAAAGAAGGAGCCTCCACCACACTCCGGGGCAGAGAGTTCCACTGCTGAACGGCTCTCACAGTCAGGAAGTTCTTCCTCATGTTCAGATGGAATCTGCTCTCTTGTAGTTTGAAGCCATTGTTCTGCATCCTAGTCTCCAAGGAAGCAGAAAACAAGTTCGCTCCCTCCTCCCTGTGACTTCCTATCACATATTTATACATGGCTAATCATGTCTCCTCTCAGTCTTCTCTTCTTCAGGCTAAACATGCCCAGCTCCTTAAGCCGCTCCTCATTGGGCTTGTTCTCCAGACCCTTGATCATTTTAGTCGCCCTCCTCTGGACACATTCCAGCTTGTCAATATCTCTCTTGAATTGTGGTGCCCAGAATTGGACACAATATTCCAGGTATGGTCTAACCAAAGCAGAATAGAGGGGTAGCATGACTTCCCTAGATCTAGACACTATGCTCCTATTAATGCAGGCCAAAATCCCATTGGCTTTTTTTGCCGCCACATCACATTGTTGGCTCATGTTTAACTTGTTGTCCACGAGGACTCCTAGATCTTTTTCATACATACTGCTCTCGAGCCAGGCATTGTCCCCCATTCTGTATATTTGCATAAAGACCTTGGCCTGCACTTAAATACAATCGGCACTAACAAAATTACCATCTGCCAGCTGCAAAAGGCCACCTTACTGGGATCTGAACACATTATTCACTGGTACATCACACAGTCCTAGACACTTGGGAAGTGTCCGATGTGTAATCCACTACAACAGCCAGCAGAGTGTCTGCTGTGGACTCATCTTGTTGTGTTTCAAATAATAATAATAATCATCATCATCATCATCCCCCATTGGGTGCCACCTTGTCGTTGGTGGGGGGCTTAACTGCTTGTATGATGTTGTGTTTCAAATAATAATAATAATAACAACAACAACAAATAACAAATAACAACAACAACAACAACAAAGTTATAGGACTGGGAGATGGATGGATCGATGGGTGTTTTTACCATTCGAGGCAGGGTATAACAGGATTTACCTCTCTTGCTTTCCCACTATTTGCTTATTTTTCTTCCCCATAAGAGGACCAAGGGAGGTAGGAGCCCCTTGGGGAGCCTTATGTACCCCAATCTATGTGTGAACCCCCAACCCATGGGGACCAGGCTTCCAATAGAGATACCCCTGTAACCATTGCTCCTCATGTGTGTATATGTATAATTTTGTTTATGCTTTTGTATCACTTCATAAAATTATTGGAGAGGTTGCCAGCCTAGCCTTGCAATGATCTAGGAAGATCTGCCAACATTGTGCCAGGCTTCATTTGCTTTTAATTGGATTCAATCAGCTGCCTCAGTGTAACCCATAGGACCCAGGTGATGCGGAGGTCAACAGGAGCCATGGGGATCAACTGACGTTTGTGTCACTACATGGACAATACGAGTCATTTGTCATTTTGGTATGGAGTTTGCAATTGGGAAAACCATGCTACTGTCTTTGGAAAGGCCATTTTCCTTTTGTATATTTCCAGCCACCAGACATTTATCCTTCCAAGGATGGACAATACTCTCTGCAGGAACTTGCATGGGAGTCCAGTGCTCGGGCGCTGGGCTTGATCAGGACTGAATACCTAAGGGACAATAAAGGTTTCAGAAGATCCATCAGGGTCTTTGTGTTTGCACATCAGGGATATTTAATCCTATCACAAGTCATTCTCTCACCCTTTGTTCTGAGACCTGCCAACCCCTCTCCAACCATTGGACAGAGGGAAATCAACACCAGAGATGGCTGGCACCCTCTCCTTGGCTGAGGCACACCGAATTCCCGCCTCTACAAGGATATCACCCCGGCTCAGCCAATCACAGCAAAACTGGGTGCAGCTGGGGGAGCCAGAATTTTGAACTGGAAAATGTATTAAAATGCATGTTTCGCTGTATTATGTATCTCAGCTTATTTTTAGAGGGCTACCAGAAGCTGTCATCACTTCAGCTGACTTTAATAAAATTCTCAGTGACTTATCTCCAACTTGGTGAGCATTATTGCATCGGATTGGGCTTCCTTCACTCACCAAGCGCACAGATCCACAAGCTGGCTGAGTTCCAGAGCCACTCGCCATTTATATATCTGTGAAATAATGTCCAGGGTGGGAGAAAGAATTCTTGTCTGTTTAAGGCAAGTGTGAATGTTGCAATTGGCTACCTTGATTAGAATTGAATGGCCTTGTAGCTTCAAATCCTGGTTGCTTCCCGCCTGGGGGAATCCTTTGTTGGAAGGTGTTAGCTGGCCCTCGTTGTTACTTGTCTGTAATTCCCCTGTTTTCTGAGTGTTGTTCTTAGTTCTGTCCAGATTTTTGAGTTTTTAAATACTGGTAGCCAGATTTTGTTCATTTTTATGGTTTCCTCCTTTCTGCTTGTGGACAATTTCAATGGCTCTTCTGTGTAGTCTGATATGGTGGTTGTTAGTGGTCCAGCATTTCTGTGTTCTTAAATAATATGCTGGGTCCGGGTTGGTTCATCAAGTGTTCTGCTTTGATGCTGCAGGCCATTTAATGCTAATCAAGCTGGCCAATGGCAACATTCACACTTGCCTCAAACAGTCAATAATAATAATAATAATAATAATAATAATAATAATAATAATACTTTATTTATACCCCGCTACCATCTTCCCAAGGGACTCGGTGCAGCTTACATGAGGCCAAGCCCACAGTACATCAATAAATAAAAGCAATAACAAAACAATCAATACAATACAAGAGTTTTTTCTCCCACCTTGGGCATTCCACAGATACATAAACAACAGATCTACAGATTTACCATGCTCTGTCTGATGGTTATTATCTCTTTTTTTAGTCTATTCCCTTTAAATGACATTATGGCATATAGTCACATTTCTACTTTTATATAGAGCTGGGCATTGTTTTGTCTCAGAGTGAAAATACTGGCCCTATCTTCAGATGACAAGAAGAGAAAACAGCAAATCAATAGGTCTTAATAGGTCACTTTATTCATTTATTGAGGTTTCCTACGAAATATCCAGAATAAAACATTCAAATTTCAAGTACAAGGAATAGAAATAGTCAATCATTATCGAAATCCTGCCTGCAGGCTATAAATTCAAGCAATGAGACAATTTGTTGTCGAAGGCCTTCATGGCCGGAATCACTGGGTTGCTGTGCGTTTTCTGGTCTGTATGGCCATGTTCCAGAAGCATTCTCTTCTGACGTTTCACCCAGATATATGGAAGGCATCCTCCGAGGTTGTGAGGTCTGCTGGAAACTTGGCAAATGGGGTTTATATATCTCTGGAATAATGTCCAGGGTGGGAGAAAGAACTCTTGCCTGCCTGAGGCAAGTGTGAATGTTGCAAATGGACAACTTATTAGAATTGAATGGCCTTGCAGCTTCAAAGCCCGGCTGCTTACTGCCTGGGGAATCCTTTGTTGGGAGGTGTATGGAATTCCCCTGTTTTTTTTAGCCTTGCTCTTTATTTACTGTCCTGGCAGGAAACAGACAGGCTTTGAAGCTACAAAGCTTTGAAGCGGCAAGGCCATTCAATGCTAATCAAACTGGCCAACTGCAACATTCACACTTGCCTCAAGCAGTTCTTTTTCCCACTCTGGACATTATGCCAAAGATATATAAACCCCACTTGCATAATTTCAAACAGACCTCACAGCTTCATAGAATCATAGAATCAAAGAGTTGGAAGAGACCTCATGGGCCATCCAGTCCAACCCCATTCTGCCAAGAAGCAGGAATATTGCATTCAAATCACCCCTGACAGATGGCCATCCAGCCTCTGTTTAAAAGCTTCCAAAGAAGGAGCCTCCACCACACTCCGGAGGCAGAGAGTTCCACTGCTGAACGGCTCTCACAGTCAGGAAGTTCTTCCTCATGTTCAGATGGAATCTCCTCTCTTGTAGTTTGAAGCCGTTGTTTCACATCCTAGTCTCCAAGGAAGCAGAAAACAAGCTTGCTCCCTCCTCCCTGTGGCTTCCTCTCACATATTTATACATGGCTATCATATCTCCTCTCAGCCTTCTCTTCTTCAGGCTAAACATGCCCAGCTCCTTAAGCCACTCTTCATAGGGCTTGTTCTCCAGACCCTTGATCATTTTGGTCGCCCTCCTCTGGACACATTCCAGCTTGTCAATATCTCTCTTGAATTGTGGTGCCCAGAATTCTGAGGATGCCTGCCACAGATGTGGGTGAAATGTCAGGAGAGAATGCTTCTAGAACATGACCGTACAGAAAACTCACAACAACCCAATGAAATCATTTTTTTTTTCAAATTATGGTTACCATTCCTTTGGCAGGACCAAAAATAATCCTCTAAGTGAGAAGATTGTTGTCTTACATTTTAGACAACCAACAGTGCATTCTCTAAGTGCTTTGTACAGTTATGGCTTTTAGGGAAAGGCAATCTAATTGCATCCCCAGTTATTCCCCCTTCTTACCCTGAAAGGGAAGGGATGTGCAAAATAAACGCTTTGCATTGATAATGTTTTTAATTCCTATGTATTTTAATAACTGTGCTACAAAAGTTTTGCATCTTTCTAAAAGAATTGTGCTGCGAGCTGCTATTGATCTCAATTTTGGGACAAAGGCAAGACATACATCGGATCAATAAACATAGAGCTGGTTCCAACCAGGTTGGAATCAGATCTTTACTTGTTCAGCTTCATCCCGTATCTCCCCAACATTGGCTGCACCCTACACTGTAGAATTAATGCAGTTTGAAACCACTTTAAACTGCCATGGCTCAATGCTATAGAACCCTAGGAATTGTAGTTTGGTGAGGCACCAGCACTCTTGGGCAGAGAAAGCTAAAAACCTTGAAAAACTATAACTCTCATTGTTCCATTGCATTGAGTCATGCCATTAAAACAGAGTCAAGGGAAATCCCTGTAACTTTCGTTCAGTACCACGAAACACTAAATGTTGTCTCATTTGTGAAATTTCATAAGGCACTTTCACATTGTCAGGGAGTCCTGATTTGCTGAAGGAAAAACTAGGTTGTCAGTATCATGTGAAATATCCATATATATCCAAGCTTGTAGCTACTCCACGAACTGCCAAGCTGTTCGTCTGAAGAGTTTCCTTCCTTTTCTGGAAATGAGACAAGAAAAAGAGAAGTGTGAAGAAGGAGGGATTGAACATGATGTATTTCTTTTTTGCATAACAGCTATCAGACTAGGGAAGACAAACTACGAGGGGTATTTTTTAAGTAAGGTCCGTTTTGTTGTAGACACTAGTGGGTTGTGACCCCTTTGGGGGTCGAATGCCCTGTCACAGGGGTTGCATAAAACCATTGAAAAACACATATTTCTGAAGGTCTTAGGAACCAAGACACCGCTAATTTTTTCCCACCCCCTTCACTTCCCGGAGGCCCTTTCTTCTCGGGAGGGAGGTGGTGACGTCACTCAGCCCTACCCCCATTCAACCCCTCCACCATTTTAGGAGGAAGCGATGGGAGCAATGAAGGTGAGGTTTGCTTTGGAGCCAAGAGAGAAGAGAAAGGAGGAGGAGGAGAGCAGGGAGAAGAGAGAAGGTGAGGGAGAACTGGCCTAGGGAGGGAGGAGATGGGGGTGAGGGCAGGGCTTAGAGAGGGCTAGAGTGGCCCCTCCATGGCTGAATCCCAGGAAGGAAGAGAAGTAACAATGAACATACATCCTGCATATCTGATATTTACATTACAATTCATAACAGTAGCAAAAGTACAGTTAGGAAGTAGCAACGAAAATAATTTTATGGTTGGTGGTCACCACAACTTGAGGAACCATATTAAAGGGTCACAGCCATAGGAAGGTTGAGCACCACTGCTTTAGCATAAACAGCATTAAGTTTCATGAGCCATACTTGGATAAGTAAGCATGTAGGACAATGGTTCTCAATCTGTGGGTCCCCAGGTGTTTTGGCCTACAACTCCCAGAAATCCCAGCCAGTTTACCAGCTGTTAGGATTTCCGGGAGTTGATGGCCTAAACATCTGAGGACCCACAGGTTGAGAACCACTGATGTAGGAAGATTTTTCATTTACAGTGTTCCTCCAGAAATGCAAAATAGTTAGAAAGCATGTGCTACATCCTAAGTTAACCAGATATTTGCATAGGTTTATCATGCCAATTGGAATGCAATTTTGTCTTCATACCAGCACTTACATATCTTCACTTCAGGGTCCTGATCCGTGTTGTATATTTGTCTGGGTATGCAGCACTCATTACTGTGGTGTAAATTGTGTCCCTGGAGGGAAACCATAAACAAATGGAGCAATTGCACTTACAAGTCCCAAAGGCCAGTCAGATACCTCTGGACACTCTGTGATTGAGACATAATGTGAATTCAGTATGACTTCCATGTCTGTGGGGGATACCTTCTAGGTCTTCTTGTGGATAGTGAAACCATAGGTAATGGGGAACACTTCTGAAGAAATGTCTTCCGACAGAAGCATGCTATAAAGTCATACTGGAAGAACTGCCTCTGATCTTAGAAGTTCCATGTAATGCTTTGAATGCAATTTTCCTGCTTCTCGGCAGGGGGTTGGACTGGATGGCCCATGAGGTCTCTTCCAACTCTAGGATTCTATGATTCTACTATGTACCAAAATTGGGGGAAAAATCAGTTCTGAATTAAAAGTGTTATTTCCTGTTTAAATGTGCAGTACTTACTTTGAAAGTAGTTGTTCTACTCCAGAAACTTTGTTTTTCTGGCTGCCACTGTTATAGATCAGCCACCAGAGATTGATGGTTTAAGTGATGATTTAGAGAGAATTGTGAGCTTTCCTGTGGCACAAAGTGATGGGATCTCAAGTCTGGGAAATTCAAGTTTGGGAAATGATAGTTCTCTCGGTGAGAAAACTGGCTCGGAAAGCACAGGACCTCACGGGCATTCAGGGGAATCTGAAGCAGCAACATCAGATAAGGAATCGAGTGAAGAGCTGAGTGATGGGGAGGGTTCCCATGGAAGCTGACCTGTAGCTAAGGAGTCTTCGGTTACAAATCAGAGCCGAAAATAGATTGTGTCGTTCAGAGAGATTACATGGGAAAGTTGTGAAGGAAATTCACGGGAAACAGAATGATTTCATGGGTGTCTATTAAACAGCAAGTTGTTTGCCTTAAGGTCAGTTCAGGCAACGCTGCATTAGAGTGAGAAGCTAAGCTTGAGTTCTCTTGTTCCTGGTTCAAGTCAAGCTTTGATTTTGGATTTAATATATCCTGGAAGTGTTCTATGTTCCTGTTCATATAAACTAGTTCAAGTTTTACTAGTTACACCTTCTTGATTGTGGGCTTATACTGTAGCTGTGATTTCTGGCTGTTCCTTTGTCATCTCTGAAACTTCATGAGACATTTGGATTATTGTTTGGTTATCACCTGTTGCTAAACCTTTTTGGATTATATATCTTTCTTTCTTACTCCTGATTTTATATGCTTTTTATATGTTTTTATAATAATCTGTTTGCTTATATTCCTGGACTCTTGTGTGGTTCAGTGGTCATAGGTGTTTCCAGGCCTGGAGTGCAACAGCCACACACTATGCTAAAATGTTCGAGACTCTTATGAGATAGTCATTGAAAAACTACTGCAAAATGTGATGCAGGATGTCCCACAAAAACAAAGGGTTTTTTTTTTTTGCAGTTTAACAAACTTTTTCCATGTTTTCATGATAGAACCAATTTGGAAATGACATGTATAAGCCAGGAACAAAAGTTGTGTTAGATAGTGTCATAGATGACCAATGCTTGACAGCAATGAGATACACAGTGAATGTAATTAACATACCATAAATAGAAAAGTAACTTTTGTTGGGACTCAGCCTGTGTTTCACCCTGAATCTGTTATAGTGTTTTCCCCTTCTCATGTTTCTGGGCCTGTCTTGGATGTCAATGAGGATGAGGTGAAAAATGGAGACACTTTGGACAATAAGGTTACTACAGACTCTGATCGAGAAGGGTCAGGGGAATCATAGAATCAAAGAGTTGGAAGAGACCTCGTGGGCCATCCAGTCCAACCTCCTGCCAAGAAGCAGGAATATTGCATTCAAAGCACCCCCGACAGATGGCCATCCAGCCTCTGTTTAAAAGCTTCCAAAGAAGGAGCCTCCACCACACTCCGGGGCAGAGAGTTCCACTGCTGAACGGCTCTCACAGTCAGGAAGTTCTTCATGTTCAGATGGAATCTCCTCTCCTGTAGTTTGAAGCCTTTGTTTCACGTCCTAGTCTCCAGGGCAGCAGAAAACAAGCTTGCTCCCTCCTCCCTGTGGCTTCCCTCTCACATATTTATACATGGCTATCATATCTCCTCTCAGCCTTCTCTTCTTCAGGCTAAACATGCCCAGCTCCTTAAGACGCTCCTCATAGGGCTTGTTCTCAGACCCTTGATCATTTTAGTCGCCCTCCTCTGGACACATTCCAGCTTGTCAATATCTCTCTTGAATTGTGGTGCCCAGAATTGGACACAATATTCCAGGTGTGGTTTAACCAAAGCGGAACAGAGGGGTAGCATTACTTCCCTAGATGTAGACACTATGCTCCTATTGATGCAGGCCAAAATCCCATTGGCTTTTTTTGCCAAGTTCTCATGAGCAAATTCCAGGCTCGAGTTTGAAGGAAAGTTCACTTCCTTCTCCAGGCTCGAGTCTGCAAGGTAGTTTCACATCTGCAGTTGATGAAGAGATAGATATGACCAGTCGCCGGCTGGAAATTAGCCAGAACCGTAGAGAGGCCCAATGTTTACGCAGGTCAGAAAGAATTTGGCAATTAAGGTCAAAGACTGGAGGGAGTAGAAATCAGTTTCTGGGACTTAAATTGAGCTCTTAGGGAATTTCCTTCAGAAAAGGCATTGTTTGGTTTTAAGTCAAGTCTTTTGGATATTCTTGTGGTCTCATTTCCTAGGTTTCCTGGCTTTTCAAGTGGATTAGCAGTGGCTATGTTCATGGTTTTTATAGAAGGCATTTGATGTCTTTGCATCTGGATTTAAACAGCAAGCTTTTGGATCTTTGATATTATTCCTATGTTTGGACACTGTTTATGTTACTGCTTATTTGGCTTTTTGCTTTTGGACTTTTATCAACTTTATATTCATTTCTTTTATTGGCTCCAATTATTCTTCAAATAAAGATGACTCTTTTTTCATCCAAGGTGTGGTGTAATTAATGATTAGAGGGTCCTGTTCCTACTCTGGGATGCAACAGCTTCCATAATATCAACTGGAACAAATTGCCCTTTGAGATTTTCCAGCAAGTCATATATCAAATAGCTTTATTTTTTTAAAAAAGGCTTTCCAAGTTCTGCAGGGAACCTATTTTAAAATATGCATCTTTTCTTTTACGTATGCCAAAACTATAATATTACAAAATGCATAAAAAAGCAAAAATACTTACTTGTTTAAGACTGGCTGTTCTGACAATATCTAAAGCAACAAAAGGGAAGAAAGTGACCTTCTTTGGAGGACTTCAAAAGAAAACAACTTTAAAACTTACTTGTCAGGTACTGGGAATTATATTCTCTCATTTTCCAACAGAGAATACAATGATGTATCTGTCACACTACTTTCCTGATTTGGCACGCATTTTCTCTGTCTTACAAGAAAGTAACTACAGTAGAAAGCTCTCACAAGGAACTGACTTCACTTATATTTTCGATGTTTTTACAGAGCATGATATAAAATAGATGACTTACTTTATAGAGTGACTCAAGGTTAATATTTTCTTGTCCTGTGGCATTCAGTGCTTTGATGGCTGGAGTTCTGTAGTATAAACATAAAAAATGCTCATAGGTGCATATACTGTAACTATTGCATACGAATCAAGACGCCGAAACTTGGGTACATATACATTTGCTACTTAGGTTGCATCCAGACTGCTATGCACAGGGGCAGCTCAACCCATTACGCAAAGTAAGCATTTACAGTATAGTTCATTTTGCCCAGGGGCGCTCTTGAGATGCTCTTGGGGAAAAACAGACCTTGACATATGCAAGTTGTAGTTACTGGGATGTATAGTTCACCTACAATCAAAGAGCATTCTGAACTCCACCAATGATGGAATTGAACCAAATATGGCACACAGGACTCCCATGATGAACAGAAAATATAAATCAATTATTGGGGTATAAATAATAATAATAATAATAATAATAATTATTATTATTATTATTATTATTATTATTATTAGTAGTAGTAGTAGTAGTAGTAGTAAAAAACAAGTACACTCCAAACTCTGTCTCTCTCTCTGCTTCTCTCTGCTTTTCTGTGCACATGCATAGCTCAAGCCTGAACAAAAATGTAACAGTATCCAAAAGTCCCAGGCTCAGCCTGCTCCTCAGGCATTGCCTGACCAATCAGCTTCATGCATCTTATTTTACATTTGACACACACACATTCACTGATTCCTTGCATGCTCCAACAGTCTTTACACTATGAGATTTGTCTCTATCGTAGCACTAAGCCATTACAGTTAAAGTGGTGTCAAACTACATTAATTCTATAATGTAGATCCACCCTTAGTGTGCTGTTGGGACTTATCCCATGATATTTCTGCCTCTGGTACCAGATTTTTCTGTTGTACAAGTTATAGCCAGGTACTCCTGCGTTGTTTTTCTGCCATACTATTGAGATTTTTGTGCACTTGTAGGCATGCATACGGTGCGATATAGACAGAGAACATCTGGATCTCCAGATATGTTAGCATAAGATTGTTGTAGGTTTTTTCAGGCTATATGGCCATGTTCCAGAGGCATTCTCTCCTGACGTTTCGCCTGCATCTATGGCAAGCATCCTCAGAGGTAGTGAGGATGCTTGCCATAGATGCAGGCGAAATGTCAGGAGAGAATGCCTCTAGACCATGGCCATATAGCCCCAAAAAACCTACAACAACCCAGTGATTCCAGCCATGAAAGCTTTCAGCAATACATTATGCTAGCATATATTCTCATCATATTCATCCAGATGGCCACTAGCAAGGTATTGTAAAAGCGGGCCAGATTTCTGCCACTTCTGCTGTATGTATGTCTTAATTTAAACACACACAGAAATCTTGGCATGATAACCTCCTAGCAAAATATACCTTCGGTCATCAGAAGGAGGAGGGGTTGTCCAGTGGTCGTAATTCGTCTCCACCCGATACCAGCTGCAAACAGAAAATACAGGTTAACGTCAATATCACAACATCATTTTGGCACAGCATATGTTCAGAATGATTATATGATGTAACACAATTTGAAAAAAATATATGTTCCTGGTTTAAAAGTATTATTTCCTGTTAAATTTGTGGTATACACTTTGAAAGTATACTTTATTTCTGTGTCTGCCACAAACTATGTTGAAATGGTTGAGACTGGATGAGATATTCTACAAAGATGATATAGTGCAACCACTCTAGGGAGCATTTGAGTGTAGATTTATGTTGTAGGAGCTCCCCCTTGGTGTTGTGTGCCTCCAAGTCCTTTCTGATTTATGGTGACCCTAAAGCAAAGCTATCATTGAAAGGTGTGTTTGACTCAATCAGGGTCACCATTGGGTTTCCATAGTCCAACAGGAAATTGAACCTTAAGTCACCAGACAAGTAGTCCAATGCGCTCACCCTACTTACTGCATAAGGTCAGCTTAGCGTATCTTACCCGCCAGACAAAGGGTCCAAGGGCCAAATATCAACTGGACCACTTCTCTTTCTTGTAATCACTGCACCCTCCTTGGGTGTTGTGCCTCCAATGATGTAGTAGACGTTAGCTATAATTGGAGTGTTAGCCAGCATAAGAGCAGCGGCTTCAAAGTCTTCTGCTTCACTCAAAGCCTACAATACAGATGATACAGAGGAGTAAGTTGAATATGATCTGCTCAGATCTGAACAGAGGTAGACACCTTGGATCAGCATGCCCACATTATTACTGGATTGTGGCACATCTGGTTGGGGGTCAGCTGCATTAAATCACTACTGGTTGAGAGGTCATGAGTTTGAAGCCAGCCCAGATCAGAGTGAGCTTCTGGCCATTTGTCTAGCTTGTCGACCTTTCCAGCCCGAAAGACAGTTGCATCTGTCAAGTGGAAAATTTAGGTACCGCTTATGTGGAGAAGCTAATTTAACTAATTTAAAGGTAAATTATTTATTTATTTATTTGCTTCACTTTTATACCGCATATTTCAGCCTTTGACAGGCGACTCAATGCGGTAAAGGTTGTCCCCTGACATTAAGTCCAGTCATATTTCACTCTAGGGTGTGGTGCTCATCTCCATTTCTAAGTCAAAGAGCCGACGTTGTCCATAGACACCTCCAAGGTCATGTGGCTGGCATGACTGCATGGAGCGCCGTTACATTCCCGCTGGAGCGGTACCTATTGATCTACTCACATTTGCATGTTTTCGAACTGCTAGGTTGACAGAAGCTAGGCTGACAGCAGAAGCTCACGCCGCTCCCCGGAATTGAACCTGCAACCTTTCGGTCGACAAGCTCAGCAGCTCAGCACCTTAACCCACTACACCACCGGGAGCTCCTTAACTAATTTATGATGCCATAAAACTCTCCAGCAGCGTCCAAAAGAATGAGGAAGTACTCCATCGGTGTCACAAGTGGACGGTGAAGCAACAGTTCCCCCAGTGGCTGGAATTCATAACAGCAGTAAAATTACAATTATGAAGTAGCAACAAAAATAATATTATGGTTGGGGGATCACACCAACATGAGGAACTATATTATGGGGTCATGGCATTAGGAAGGTTGAGAAACACTGGTGTAAACTCCTGGCTGAAAAAATAACTCCCCAAATTTCAGAGCTTTCCCTACCAAAATACTATAGTGTAGGAAGAACAGGATGAGATGTGTGGCATCTTAATAGACTGGAAGTTGGCATAAGCTTTAGATAGGTGGGATGTAGATAGGTAATATGGATAAAGGATGCGGTTCCCAAAGGTTTACGCCGAATAAAACATGTTAGTTTGTCATGAGATTCCCTGGTACAGCAAAATAAAAAATCTACGTCCTCAAAGCATTGGAAGAAGCCACACGGAATATTGTGTTTAATTTCAAATGTCTCTTAAAGGTTAGAGCCGTTTACTTAGATTTCCACAGATCCTATCCATGAATATCTGTGCATTTCAGTCGCTTAAGGAAGGAAAGGGAAGGGACTTGAGGTTATTAGGAATTGTGGGAGTTGAAGTACAAAACACGTGGAGGGCCAAAGTTTGCCCATGCCTGCATTAGAAGATGACACCATAAAAAAGGAGAAAGTTTGCAGCCACTTACAATTCTGATGAGCCAGCTGACGGGAATGTTTCGATTGAAGAAAGCTGCGATGGCATTCTCCCACCAATTGCCAGCATCTAGGAAAAATAAAAGGTAAAACACAGGAATCAGAGGAGACTATGAATGGTTTCAGTACTTGACTATTTCTCACCTGAAAGAGTCAAAGGCTGCTTCTACACTGCAGAAATAATGCAGTCTGGGACCACTTTTTGGATCAATGGTAGTTTGACAAAGCACCGGCATTCTTTGGCAGAGAAGGCTAACGACCTTGTAAAACTACAGCTCCCACCATTCCATTGCGTTGAGCCATGGCAGTTAAAGTGATGTCAAACTGCATTTATTGTACGGAGTAGATGCACCCCATGAGGACTGAAGTTTTGAAATGTTAGCAGATAGACTTCTCGATATTCTTTTCTTTGTGTATATCCTGCCTCTAGTCCTCAAGACATGGAGACAAGCGTGTAATATGTACAGCTGTCCTTTGCTGAAAATGTGTGGATACACACACACATATGCAAATTCAGTATGTGTTTGTGTGTATGTGTGTATATATATATATATGCAAATTCCAAAATCTTTCCAGGAGTTTGTCTTACTGTCTCAACTAGAGGGAGCTCCCACCTCTCCCCGGATCCAACCACCGGTCTTTTGGTCAGCAAGCTCAGCAGCTCAGCGGTTTAACCCATTGCGCCACCAGGAGCTCAATGGGTTAAACTGCTGAGCTGCTGAACTTGCTGACCAAAAGGTCAGCAGTTTGAATCCTCTACTCCTCAAGACATGGAGACAAGTGTGTAATATGTACAGCTGTCCTTTGCTGAAAACGTAAGGCATATATATATATATATATATATATATATATGTATGTATGTATATACATACATACATATGCAAATTCAGTGTCTGTGTCTGTGTGTGTGTGTATGTATGTGTGTGTGTATGTATGTGTATATATATATATATATATATATATATATATATATATGCAAATTCCAAAACTTTTCCAGGAGTTTGTTCTACTGCCTCATGTTTTCAGCAAAGGGCAGCTATATGTATTACACACTTGCCTCCATGTCTCGAGGACTAGAGGATTCAAACCGCCAACCTTTCGGTCAGCAAGTTCAGCAGCTCTGCAGTTTAACTCATGGAGCCCCGGTGGCACAGTGGGTCAGTGGTTCGAATCCAAGGAGTGGGGTGAGCTACTGCTATTAGCCTCAGCTTCTGCCAACCTAGCAGTTCGAAAACATGCAAATGTGAGTAGATCAATAAGTAGCGCTCCGGTGGGAAGGTAACGGCACTCCATGTAGTCATGCCAGCCCATGATCTTGGATGTGTCTACGGGTAACGCTGGCTCTTCGGCTTAGAAATTGAGATGAGCACCAACCCCAAGAGTCGGACACGACTAGACGTAATGTCAGGGAAAAACCTTTACCTTATATATCTATATATATACTGCAAAACTCCCATTGTCTTCTTCCACTAGTTAAATCATGGTTCACAGGATCCCTAGTTCCAAATGGTTTCCCAGCCCCCCAAAATGACAAATATTCAGAGTTCATTCTTGTGTTTACAATCCAAATCTCTGCAAAGACAACTAATACATTTCATTCTTGTGTGTTTACAATACGAATCTCTGCAAAGACAACTAATAGAATTGACGTCAAACTGAATACATTACTGGAAACCTTCTATGCTCTGGAATGTCTAAGATCCACATTCGAATGAGGCTCACCTCTCTCATCCCCAGAGATGGTAAACTTGTGTGGACGTTGTCCTGTCCATAAACCAACATAACCCATAAATGTTGTGCCCCTGAACTTGACCTGAAAATTAAAAGGGAGGAATAAGTTATCATAAACCACAATTCTTTTACTATTAAGTATCTCTCAAGATGCCGCCAGGACAGAGATATTTTACATAATGCAAGACACACCCCGATGTGTGTGTGGTTATTCACATCACCTGTCGATTTATGGTGACCTCATGAATTTCATAGGGTTAGCTTTGTATTATATAAATACAAAATCAGTTTGGTGACAACACGGAAGTTATGAATGCCAGAGCAATTCCACCCATCCGATATATGCAATGCATAAAACATAAGGAGACTGTATTGAAAGAAGTAACATAGAATCTTGGATACTAATACTAACTAAGAAGTAGATGTTTGTAGCATAAACATTTGTAGACTGAGGGTACATCTACACTGTAGAATTAATGCAACTCGACTCCATTTTAGCTGGTATGGAATTATGGGAATTGTAGTTGGGTAAGACACCAGCATTCTTTGGGAGAGAAGGCTAAAGATTGTGTAAAACTACAAGTCCTATGTAAAACTGAAAGCCAAAACCAACGTCACAATAACATCAGTTATTGAACTCCAGTATGCTGATGACAATGTCGTCTGTGCGCATTCAGATGAAGACCTACAAGCCACTCTAAACACCTTTGCAGAAGCATATGAGAAGCTCAGCCTGTCACTGAACATCAAGAAAACTAAAGTACTTTTCAGAAATCACCAGCCAATCCCTCTGCAATGCCAGAAATACAGCTTAATGGTGTAACATTAGAAAATGCTGACCATTTCCTCTACTTTGGCAGCCACCTCTCCACAAAAGTCAACATTGAAATACAACGCCACTTGAGCTCTGCAAGTGCAGCATTTTTCTGAATTAAGCAGAGAGTGTTTGAGGATCAGGACATCCGTAGGGGACCAAGGTGCTTGTTTATAAAGCTATTGTCCTACCAACCTTGCTATATGTCTATGAAACGTGGACTGTCTACATACATCACACTCAACTCCTGGAACGATTCCATCAGCACTGCCTCTGAAAAATCCTGCAAATCTCTTGGGAAGACAGGAGGACAAATGTCAGTGTGTTGGAAGAAGCAAAGACCACCAGTAGTGAAGCGATGTGTCGACACCATCAGCACCGCTGGAGTGGCCACATTGTCCAAATGCTCGATCACCATCTCCCAAAGCAGTTACTCTACTCCAAACTCAAGAATGGAAAATGGAATATTGGAGGACAGGAAAAGAGATTTAAAGATGTGCTTAAAAACTGTGGCATACACACCAAGAACTGGAAAGCCCTGGCCCTTGAGCACTCTAGTTGGAGGTCAGCTGTGACCAGCAGTGCTGCGGAATTTGAAAAGGCATGAATGGAAGGCAAAAGGGAGAAATGTGCCAAGAGGAAGGCACGTCAAGCAAACCCTGACCAGGACCGCCTTCCACCTGGAAACTGATGTCCTCACTGTGGAAGAACATGCGGATCAAGAATAGAGCACCACAGCCACCCACCGTCAAGACACTACACTTGGAAGGCCATCATACTCGGACAATGAGGGATCGCCTATGTAAGTAAGTACAAGTCCTATGATTACACATGATTCAGCAATTACCATTAAAGTGGTATCGAACTGCATTAATTTTATGGTGTTTACTTCATCAGATGCATGAATGTGTGGACACGATTACTCATACTTGGATGGAAGATTTGTAAATACAACTGCTCAATCTGCAGTTGGTTGCTGTCAAATCCTGTTCTTGTACTATCCAAAAATGCAATTGGTGAAACGCACAGCTTTCCTATGCCTCTCAATAGTTTGTAATATTGCCAAACCTTCATTGTACCTGACCATCCTTTAAGAAATTCACATCAATGGTCATATTGCGTAAAATGTCTACAAAGGCATAATCCATATTCCGGCCATGGTATATAGTTCCGTTGCTGTCTTGAGCAATGATGCTGGTGCAAAACCTGCAGGAGAAAAACATGAGAGTTGTTGGGGAAAATGCACACACAAAAACATGGCCTTTGCCGTTTTCCTTCTAGAAACAAATGCAAATGCAAAAGCTTTCCCATTTACTTAAGCAGATGTAGCCACTTATTGTAAACATATATGGAGATTCTCCTCCATCGAATGGAATGGGACATACTGTTTATGCAAAAAGCATGTGCAAATGTCAGAATGCAAATGGATCAATAGTTGAGATGAATGGACAAAACTATTTATTTATTTATTTGCCCTATTTCTATCCCACCCTATCAGCCCAAAGGCGACTCAGGGTGGCATACAAAGTCGGCACAATTCAATGCCATATATAAAATATATACATTGATAAAAAGCAAAAAAGAAACATTACATTACATTTAGAGACATAAAAACAATGAATAATAAAAATTTTAAAAAAACTCTGTCCTCTCATTCAAATCCTCATCCATTGCATCGTCTTAGCTGTTCCGGTGGCACTGTGGGTTAAAGCTCTGTGCCGGCAGGACTGAAGACCGACAGGTCACAGGTTCGAATCCGGGGAGAGGCGGATGAGCTCCCTCTATCAGCTCCAGCTCCTCATGCGGGGACATGAGAGAAGCCTCCCACAAGGATGATAAAAACATCAAATCATCCGGGCATCCCCTGGGCAACGTTCTTGCAGACGGCCAATTCTCTCACAACAGGAGCGACTTGCAGTTTCTCAGGTCACTCCTGACACGACAAAAATAAAGCTGTTCCTGGGTCATTTTCCAATTCAAGCTTGTCTCTTTATCCCGAGGTTACGAATGCTTGCTTGAAGAGCCAAGTTTTCACTCTTTTTTTAAAGGTCAGGAGGGAGGGGGCTGATCTAATATCCCTAGGTAGAGAGTTCCACAGCCGAGGGGCCACCACAGAGAAGGCCCTGTCTCTCGTCCCTGCCAAACGTGCTTCAAAGCAGGAAGGATCGAGAGCAGGGCCTCCTCCGACGATCTCAAATTCCTGGTGGGTTCGTAGGAAGAGATGCATTCGGATAGATAAGCCAATGACTATGAGCCAGGACAGCTAATTTCTGTCTCTGTGTCTGTATCACTCCATTTACTGGTGAGCACTGGATGGAGTACATTGCTTAATACAGCACACACAGTAGGCAGACGGGACATTTTTGTCATTTCTTAACCCCAAGCAGACTGCACTTGTGGGGTCACAGGTGAACAGAAGGGACATTTAGTGTGACCAGGAGTCACATCTAGGCACTTTTTTCCAGTTTAGCAGGAAAGGTATCTGAAATAGCATTCACCTGATAAAATGACATCAATGGGCCCTTTTTAGCCTCAAAATGTATAGATGATGGCTGTTTCCCCCCTCCATCCCCTAATAAAGCTGAGGTTGGGGAGTTCCAAAGGGAAGGGTCCACCAAGAGCAGCCCAGAAGCAGTTGGATGGCTGAAGCAAAACAATCCAGTCATTCTCCCTCACTTTCTGCCAGCTCAGGAATGGGCATATACCACATGTTAGTTACATACCTAACTTAACTCTGAGCAAAAAGACTTGCCCTTCCTACGTCATGTGCATGCAGAGTGATGTGAACAGCTGGGCCTCATATTAGCTTGTCTTCTAAAGTAAGTGTTGTCACGATGTTTTCAAAACAAGAACAATGGAGTTGGATAAAGACTGAATGTGCCAGAGGTCGTACAGCACGACAGTGTCATCGAGGTCTTCAAGAGGCTTGCGGGGAATCTGCATTCTCTTACAGAACAGTGGCAAGGTGGGTAAAAGCCTTCATCGAAGGATGCCAAAATGTGGCAGACATGCATCGCCCAGGTCGTCCTAGTGTCAGCGAAGTGGAAGTGAATGCTGTTGCCACACTCGTAGACAGTTATCAACGCCATACGATTTGTGAGCTAGCCCAAAACACAGGATTTGCGCATACAGCTGTGCTCCACATTCTGAAGGAACACCTGGGCATGAGAAAATTACTTCATGGTGGGTTCCACACCATTTGATGGAAATGCAGAAATGGCTACAATACAATGCTGCTTGTACCCACTTGGAGTGCTATGAGCGCAAAGGAGGCTCATTACGCTGGATGAGACTTGGGCCAGATCGTACCAACCAGAACTAAAACACCAATCGAACGAATGGCGTCATTACGGGTCACCGCGAAGTTCGAAATTTCGTCAGAAACCCAGCAATGTGAAAGTTAGGGTGATTCTTGTGTATGACTGTGATAGTGTCATTCTAACGCATACCGTTCCCCCACATCAGACCGTCAATGCACAGTATTACTGCTCGTTTTTGGAACACCATCTCAGACCAGCTTTGAGGGAAAAACGGCGACACTTTCTGCAGAACGCCCCTATTATTTTGCATGACAACGCTCAGCCACATGCAGCACAAGCTGTGGCTGATTTGCTCGATCAATGGGGCTGGGAAGTGCTGTACCATCCACCATACTCCCCAGACTTAAGCCCTTGTGACTTTGACTTAATTCCTAAGATGAAGGAACCACTTTGTGGCATTCACTTCAGAACTCTTCCAGAGATTCTTGCGGCAGGAGACCGCTCCATTCGAACTATGAACAGCACAGGCACTGCAACAGGTGTCCTACGACTTCCACATCGTTAGAAACGGGTTGTACACAATTCTGGTGACTATATTGAAGGACTGTAAAACTTGGTGGCATGTATTGCTTTTGTATTATATGTAAATAAATAGTTGCCACTATTAAAGTTCCAACCATGGTATTTACTCTACATGTTTCCAACAGTGGTTGAACTGTTGTTTATCCTCTCATACTGCATTTTGCTCAGAGCCATTCAAACCATAAAAGAAACATCATTCAATTTCCTATTTTTATTTTTATTTTTTGCTGACAAATGGAATGAATGACCCTGAGCAAAGGTTGCAACAATAGTCAGGATGGAGTTTCCCTATGACAGAGTTGGTGCAAGTGACTGCTGTGATATAAAAGAGGGAGGACAGCTGTCCTTGTGCAGGCATTTCAAAGGATTGTCATGCCTTTATCTAATCTGGAATGGATAATATTTTGTATATAGTAGAGCTCTGTGTGGGGGTTGCAGAATGAAAGAGGAAAGCAAGGTCAATGTTAAGGAAAGTCCAGAAACTGTAGCCCGGAAAAGTGTGTTTCCCATGTTTCCATATAACATTATATTCACAAGATTTGCAGATGAGGGGCTGGGCCAATGGAAAGTTCAATAGCCATCACAATCCAACCTGCCTTCCCTTTTGTCCTCCAATGTGATAGGTAAATCAAGCCAAGCAAATTGTGCCATAAAAGCAAACTTTCTAAAGTCAAGGAGGGAGGAGACGTGGGAAGTCTCTTGCAATTCCTTCCATGTAAACTTCAATCCTAGCTGCTACTTGCTAGTGAACTTTGAGCATGGTAATGTTATGCCACATACTTCCTTTTAGGAGATTTTAGCAGGACCCAAAAAGCTTGCCATTCTTAGCAACCAGCAAACATTGGGTTTAGCCTTCTACTGTTTCAGCTTTGCGGCCACTAAATTCCCTGAATTGGACCAAAAACTTACGCGGAGGATTCATAGGCCAGATTGAGCAAAAGGCCATCACCGACGTTCAGGTCCAAAGCTTTGAAAAGCCCCCAAATTTCTCCTGCAAATGGCTGAGGAACACAGGATACGATTTCTTCAGCAATGGGCCGAATGATGGCGTGAACCCACTTGGGGATGCTTTCCCTGGAAAACAAAGGAACAAAACAAGAGACTTGGTTGTATAGTGGACTCGAGCGGAGTGCCATCAGCAGGGTTCCGTCCTGGGCCCGGTCCTCTTCAACATCTTTATTAATGACTAGATGAAGGGTTAGAAGGCATGATCATCAAGTTTGCAGACGGGACCAAATTGGGAGGGATAGCCAATACTCTATAAGACAGGAGTAGAATTCAAAATGATCTTAACAGATTAGAGAGATGATTGGCCAAAACTAACAAAATGAAGTTCAACAGTGACAAATGCAAGATACCCAACTTAGGCAGAAAAAATGAAATGCAAAGATACAAATGGGGGACGCCTGGCTCAAGAGCAGTCCATTGAAAAAGATCTTGGAGTCCTTGTGGACAACAAGTTAAACGTGAGCCAACAATGTGATGCTGCAGCCATCAAGGCCAATGAGATTTTGGCCTGCATCAATAGGAGTCTAGTGTCTAGATCTAGGGAAGTTATGCAACCCCTCTATTCTGCCTTGGTTAGACCACACCTGGAATACTGTGTCCAACTCTTAGCACCACAATTGAAGGGAGATGTTGACAAGCTGGAATGTATCCAGAGGAGGGTGCCTAAAATGATCAAGGGTCTGGAGAACAAGCTGTATGAGGAGAAGCTTAAAGAGCTGGGCATGTTTAGCCTGCAGAAGAGAAGACTGAGAGGAGACATGGTAACCATCTATAAATATGTGAGGAGAAGTCATAGGGAGGAGGGAGCAAGCTTGTTTACTGCTGCCCTGGAGACTAGGACGTGGAGCAATTACTTCAAACTACAGAAAAGGAGATTCCATATGAACATTAGGAAGAACTTCCTGACACTGAGAGCTGTTCAGCAGTGGAATTATCTGCTCCGGAGTGTGATAGAGGCTCCTTCTTTGGAAGCTTTTAAACAGAAGCTGGATGACTATCTCATAGGGCTTGTTCTCCAGACCCTTGAGCATTTGAGTTACCCTCCTCTGGACACATTCCAGCCGGTCTCCCTTCAATTGCGGTGCCCAGAATAGGACACCGTGTCATTCCAGGTGTGGTCTGACCAAGGCAGAATTAGACGGATGGCATGACTTCCCAGGATCTAGACACTGGAGTTGGAATCCTCCTCCCTAGATAAGGGATCGAGGGAAGATAAATTGACAGGAAACTCTCACAGGTGATGATGATGATGATGTTATTTTTGTATTTCGCCACCATCTCTTCGGAAGGCCTCGGGGCGGTTTACATGGGGACCAACGACATGGTGAGACAAACCTAAGCAAGGAGGCACGTTTGCAGATTAGGGCAGGTAGCCAGCTTCATAGATCAACATGGCTTCATGGGATGCAGAAATTCCCTGGCAGACATAATGACTTCATGTCTGTTTATGTAGAGCTGACGTACACTCTGACTTCAGTTCAGGCAACGTGGTGTTCAAGTTAGAAGCTAGGCCTGAGTTCTGTAGTTCATGTTTTAAGCCTTGGTTTTGGATTTAAGTATCTTGGAGTTTTTTTCCATGTTCCTGTTTTGTTTATGCTAAGCATATCTTCTGCTTGTGGACTTAAGCCGCTTTTGCATTTTGGGACTACTTTTGGATTGTGTTACCTTTGGAAACACAAGAGAAAATTGATTTCCTGTTTGGTTATCACCTATTACTGACTCTTTTGGATTATCTACCTTATTTCCTTATGCTTGATTTTTCCATATACAGTAGAGTCTTGCTTATCCAACATAAACGGGCTGGCAGATCGTTGGATAAGCGAAAATGTTGGATAATAAGGAGGGATTAATAAAAAGCCTATTAAACGTCGAATTACGTTATGATTTTACAAATTAAGCACCGAAACATCATGTTTTACAACAAAATGACAGAAAAAGCAGTTCAATACACAGTAACGTTATGTAGTAATTACTGTATTTCTGAATTAAGCACCAAAACATCACAATGTATTGAAAGAGCTGTGGATCCGGGTGGGAGGCAGACTGTGTTGGATAATACAGAACGTTGGATGAGCAAAGGTTGGATAAGTGAGACTCTATTGTACCTTTTATGTGTTTTCTGCAGTAACCTGTTTGCTTATATATTGGATGCCCGACCACCGTCTCCCAAAGCAGTTGCTCTACTCCGAACTTAAGAACGGAAAACGGAATATTGGTGGGCAGGAAAAGAGATTTAAAGATGGGCTCAAAGCCAACCTTAAAAACTCTGGCATAGACACTGAGAACTGGGAAGCCCTGACCCTTGAGCATTCCAGCTGGAGGTCAGCTGTGACCAGCAGTGCTGCAGAATTTGAAGAGGCACAAATGGAGGGCAAAAGGGAGAAGTGTGCCAAGAGGAAGGCGTGTCAAGCCAACCCCGACCGAGACCGCCTTCCACCTGGAAACCAATGCCCTCACTGCAGAAGATGCAGAGCAAGAATAAGGCTCCACAGCCACATACGGACCCACAAGAACACTGGAGGACAATCATCCTTGGAAAATGAGGGATCGCCTAAGTAAGTAAGTAAGTAAGTAAGTAAGGACTCTTGTGTGGTGCTGTGGTCACTGGTGGCTTCAGGTCTGAGGGGCAACAATTGTTAATATTGTATATTGACGTTCCAAGGAGTTTTAACCCAACCTGCATTGCTATCCATTTAACAACAGTGTGCTCTGTGGCCATCGTAAAATTGCAAATGTTTAACTTGATGCTATGAAGCAATGAATATGGAAAGGTTTCAGTTGCTTACATTTGCACATTAATGTCTCTATTTAAAACAGAACAGTGTGAGGTGTGTTTCCTGGACATTTGCGCCATCGGGCAGGAAGCCCGCTTCCAAGCAAAGCATGTAAACATGTATCTCAACTATCTTTCAGAAATATGTCTCCAAAGATTACTCCAGTAGGCAATACAGTCTTCCCTCACTTATTGCGGGTGTTACGTTCCGTTACGCAATAAGTAAAAATCTGCGAAGTAGGGACAATATATTTAATATTTATACATTATTTTAATAGTTATACACTATTATAAGTCTTTATAAACTTAAAATAAAGTGAAGGAAAGGAAGGAAAGTGTTGGAGCTCAGCCTGTGATTGTGTTTCAGGATCAGGGTGCTTTGGATGTGGGAAGCGATGTCAATGAGTTTCAAGATGGCAATGGTTTGGTCAATGATCTTGATGCAGAGAATGACCAGGAGATCCATGTTCAAAGTGTAGTTTCCCCTGAGAATGTCCCTAAGGTGTGTGCGGATGATGGTGTGCTTTCTGAATTGTTATCAGAGAATTCCCTTGATTGGGAACATGAAAACAGCTCAGCACCTGGCCCAGCTGCAGAAATTAATGAGCAAATAGATAGATGGGAGGAAATCAGTCAAAACAGGAAAGCCAAACAGTGGCTTCGGCGTTCTGCCAGGCTCTGAGAGAAAAAGATAAGAAATTCTCAGTTAAAGCGAAACCAATTTCTGAGTGCTAGAGACATAGCTAACGAGGAGATAAAAGTCCCAAGTATAGGATATGTAGTCAGATGACGCATCGTTTGGAATCAAGTCAAGATCTTGTCCTTGTTCCATGGAAGCTCTGCTTGGAAAATTAATGTTTTAAGAGCCTTTTGTTTCATGGTTTTGATTCTCGGATTCTGTCATTTTATATTCACATCTTGGATTCATGTTCCCTGGTTTCTTAGATTTTATTATAGAATCATAGAATCAAAGAGTTGGAAGAGACCTCATGGGCCATCCAGTCCAACCCCTTCTACCAAGAAGCAGGAATATTGCATTCCAATCACCCCTGACAGATGGCCATCCAGCCTCTGTTTAAAAGTTTCCAAAGAAGGAGCCTCCACCATGCTCCGGGGCAGAGAGTTCCACTGCTGAACAGCTCTCACAGTCAGGAAGTTCTTCCTCATGTTCAGATGGAATCTCCTTTCTTGTAGTTTGAAGCCATTGTTCCATTGCGTCCTAGTTTCCAGGGAAGCAGAAAACAAGCTTGCTCCCTCCTCCCTGTGGCTTCCTCTCACATATTTATACATGGCTATCATATCTCCTCTCAGCCTTCTCTTCTTCAGGCTAAACATGCCCAGCTCCTTAAGCCGCTCCTCATAGGGCTTGTTCTCCATTTGATCATTTTAGTCGCAAAGTTTTGTCTTTGCTTTCATGGACTTTGCTGGACAGTTACTCTGGACTATTTTCTTCTTTCTTATCTTCTTACCTAATTGGATTTACTTATTTCTTTAAAGGGCTTTTTTACTTTACTGCTTTTTTAATTATCTTAAATAAAAGGACTGTGTTTCCTACTCAACGGTGTGGTGTTTGAGGGCTTTTCCTGTTCTGGAGGGCAACAGAAAGGCCTTTCAAGGCTGGAAGGAGGACTGAGGAGGGAAAGCGAAAGAAAAAACCCGCAAAACAGCGAAAATGCCAGGATATATATTTTAAATTAATATTTATCGAAAACCGCAAAACAGCGAATACACAATAAGCAAACCGTGAAGTAGTGAGCAAAACTTATTTTGAGTTATAACACAACAGTGTGCAAGCAAACTAAGTTGAATTAGTTGAGACTCTAGGACTTGCCTGGGCAAACTTGGGCCTTCCCTCCAGGTGTTTTGGACTTCAACTCCCACAATTACAGCCTACCGGCTGTTAGGAATTGTGGGAGTTGAAGTCCAAAACACCTGGAGGGAAGGCCCAAGTTTGCCCAGGCCTGCTATGGAATGAAAGCAAGGCTATCAAGGCGCATCCATCCTGCAGTGTAGATGCACCCAAGGCAAGCGGGACTCACTGGAGGATGCGCGCAAAGGCGAAGCGGAGGAAAGCCGGGTCGAAGCGCTTCAAAACCGGGTCCCAGCGTTGCTCAGGCGGGCTGTCCAGGCTGACATTGCACGGCCAAGGCTCCGGGTCCAAAGGAGGAGAAGGGTCCCGGGTTTGAGGCTCAGTACCGCAAGTCAGCCAGAAGGAGGAGAAGGAGAAGATGAAGAAGAGCCAGGCGCAGGAGCCCCGCCGCCGGCTCCCCATCGAGGCAGGCTGCCTTCTCTCCTTCCCTGGAGACACACAGGAGCCGGAACCCGAGCAGAGAAGAGAGGGAAGAGGAGGAGGAGGAGGAAGTGATGACCCCCAAGTGGCCGGCACAGCGCTCCAAGTGTTGGCTTCACACGGCCACACAGGAGCCGCCCCCGGGACCGAGATTCAAGCAAACGCGCATTGGCTAGGACTGCGCCTTGGTGCGCATCTGAAAAGCCCGCCCTCCCTTTTTGCAGGTGTTTCCTCCCCTTGGGGAGTTTGCAAGCTCTATGCCATCTTCATGCCTTCCTTTCTCCTTCCTGTCTGCTCTTCTCCCCCCCTTCCTCCCTCTTTTCTTCTTCTTTCCTTCCTTTCTGACCTTCTCTCCTTCCTTCCTTCCTTCTTTCCTTTCCTTTCCTTTCCTTGAGTCCAATGGCATCTCCCCTTCTTCCTTTCTCCTTCCTTTCTGCTCTTCTCTCCCACCTTTCCTGCCTTCCTCTTTCTTTTCTTCTTTCCTTCCTTTCTGTCCTTCCTTCCTTCCTCCCTCCCTCCCTCCCTTCCTTCTTTCTTTCCTCTCCTTTCCTTCTCCTTTCCTTTCTTCTTCTCCTCCTTTCCTCCTCTTCTCTTTTCTTCTTTCCTTCCTTTCCTTCTCTCCTTCCTTCCTTCTTTCCTTTCCTTTCCTTGAGTCCAGTGGCATCTCCCCTTCTTCCTTTCTCCTTCCTTTCTGCTCTTCTCCCCTCCTTTCCTTCTTTCCTCCCTTCCTCTTTCTTTTCTTCATCTTTCCTTTCCTTGAGTCCAGTGGCATCTCCCCTTCTTCCTTTCTCCTTCCTTTCTGTTCTTCTCTCCTCCTTTACTCCCTTCCTCTTTCTTTTCTTCTTCTTTCCTTCCTTTCTGACCTTCTCTCCTTCCTTCCTTCCTTCTTTCCTTTCCTTTCCTTTCCTTGAGTCCAATGGCATCTCCCCTTCTTCCTTTCTCCTTCCTTTCTGTTCTTCTCTCCTCCTTTACTCCCTTCCTCTTTCTTTTCTTCTTCTTTCCTTCCTTTCTGACCTTCTCTCCTTCCTTCCTTCCTTCTTTCCTTTCCTTTCCTTTCCTTGAGTCCAATGGCATCTCCCCTTCTTCCTTTCTCCTTCCTTTCTGTTCTTCTCTCCTCCTTTACTCCCTTCCTCTTTCTTTTCTTCTTCTTTCCTTCCTTTCTGACCTTCTCTCCTTCCTTCCTTCCTTCTTTCCTTTCCTTTCCTTTCCTTGAGTCCAATGGCATCTCCCCTTCTTCCTTTCTCCTTCCTTTCTGCTCTTCTCTCCCACCTTTCCTGCCTTCCTCTTTCTTTTCTCCTTTCCTTCCTTTCTGTCCTTCTCTCCTTCCTTCTTCCCTTTCCTTTCCTTGAGTCCAGTGGCATCTCCCCTTCTTCCTTTCTCCTTCCTTTCTGCTCTTCTCCCCTCCTTTCCTTCTTTCCTCCCTTCCTCTTTCTTTTCTTCATCTTTCCTTTCCTTGAGTCCAGTGGCATCTCCCCTTCTTCCTTTCTCCTTCCTTTCTGTTCTTCTCTCCTCCTTTACTCCCTTCCTCTTTCTTTTCTTCTTTCCTTCCTTTCTGACCTTCTCTCCTTCCTTCCTTCTTCTTTCCTTTCCTTTCCTTGAGTCCAGTGGCATCTCCCCTTCTTCCTTTCTCCTTCCTTTCTGTTCTTCTCTCCTCCTTTACTCCCTTCCTCTTTCTTTTCTTCTTCTTTCCTTCCTTTCTGACCTTCTCTCCTTCCTTCCTTCCTTCTTTCCTTTCCTTTCCTTTCCTTGAGTCCAATGGCATCTCCCCTTCTTCCTTTCTCCTTCCTTTCTGTTCTTCTCTCCTCCTTTACTCCCTTCCTCTTTCTTTTCTTCTTCTTTCCTTCCTTTCTGACCTTCTCTCCTTCCTTCCTTCTTTCCTTTCCTTTCCTTGAGTCCAATGGCATCTCCCCTTCTTCCTTTCTCCTTCCTTTCTGTTCTTCTCTCCTCCTTTACTCCCTTCCTCTTTCTTTTCTTCTTCTTTCCTTCCTTTCTGACCTTCTCTCCTTCCTTCCTTCCTTCTTTCCTTTCCTTTCCTTTCCTTGAGTCCAATGGCATCTCCCCTTCTTCCTTTCTCCTTCCTTTCTGCTCTTCTCTCCCACCTTTCCTGCCTTCCTCTTTCTTTTCTTCTTTCCTTCCTTTCTGACCTTCTCTCCTTCCTTCCTTCCTTCTTTCCTTTCCTTTCCTTTCCTTGAGTCCAATGGCATCTCCCCTTCTTCCTTTCTCCTTCCTTTCTGTTCTTCTCTCCTCCTTTACTCCCTTCCTCTTTCTTTTCTTCTTCTTTCCTTCCTTTCTGACCTTCTCTCCTTCCTTCCTTCCTTCTTTCCTTTCCTTTCCTTTCCTTGAGTCCAATGGCATCTCCCCTTCTTCCTTTCTCCTTCCTTTCTGTTCTTCTCTCCTCCTTTACTCCCTTCCTCTTTCTTTTCTTCTTCTTTCCTTCCTTTCTGACCTTCTCTCCTTCCTTCCTTCCTTCTTTCCTTTCCTTTCCTTTCCTTGAGTCCAATGGCATCTCCCCTTCTTCCTTTCTCCTTCCTTTCTGCTCTTCTCTCCCACCTTTCCTGCCTTCCTCTTTCTTTTCTCCTTTCCTTCCTTTCTGTCCTTCTCTCCTTCCTTCTTTCCTTTCCTTTCCTTGAGTCCAATGGCATCCCCCCTTCTTCCTTTCTCCTTCCTTTCTGCTCTTCTCTCCTCCTTTATCTCTTCATTTTTTCTTTTTTCCTTCTTTTCTGTCCTTCTCTCCTCCCTCCCTCCCTCATTTCTTTCCTTTCCTTTCCTCTCCGAGTCCAATGGCATCTCCCCTTCTTCCTTTCTCCTTTCTGCTCTTCTCTCCCACCTTTCCTGGCTTCCTCTTTCTCTTCTTCTTTCCTTCCTTTCTGTCCTTCTTTCTTTCCTTTCCTTGAGTTCAATGGCATCTCCCCTTCTCCCTTTCTCCTTCCTTTGTGCTCTTCTCTCCTCCTTTACCCCTTCCTCTTACTTTTCTTCTTTCCTTCTTTTCTGTCCTTCTCTCCTTCCTTCCTTTTCTCCTTCCTTCCTACCTCCCTCCCTCCTTTCTTTCCTCCTTTACTTTCATTTCCTCTCCTTTCTTTCCTTGAGTTCAATGGCATCTCCCCTTCTTCCTTTCTCCTTCCTTTCTGCTCTTCTCTCCTTCTTTACTCCCTTCCTCCTTCTTTTCTTCTTCTTTCCATGCTTTCTGTCCTTCTCTCCTTCCTTCCTTCTTTCCTTCCTTCCTCTCCTTAAGTTCAATGGCATCTTCATGCCTTTCTTTCTCCTTCCATTCTACCCTTCTTACATTTCCTACTTTCTTCCCAATGCCCACCAAACCCTTCTAGTATTTTCTGTTGGTCATGGAAGTTCTGTGTGCCAAGTTTGGTTCAATTCCATCGTTGGTGGAGTCCAGAATGCTCTTTGATTGTAGGTGAGCTATAAATCCCAGCAACTACAACTCCCAAATGACAAAATCATAAATTTTTTTTGAGTGATGGTCACTCGTGTTGTGAGACGTTTTGTTGCCAAATTTGGTGTCATTTCGTTCATTGGTTCTTTTGTTTTTAAGGTACTCATTACGGACAGAACATTTTTATATAGATAGATATATAGGTGAGCTATAAATCCCAGCAACTACAACTCACAAATGACAAAATTATAATTTTTGAGTGATGGTCACTCCTTGTGTTGTGAGACGTTTTGTTGCCAAATTTGATGGGATTTCATTCATTGGTTCTTTTGTTTTTAAGGTACTCATTATGCACAGAGCATTTTTATATATATAGATATAAGAGCAGGCAAGTGGCTTACACAACAAAGTGGGCTGAAACAAAACAAAACAGATCGAAAAATAAAATAAAGCCAGCAGTACAGAGCAAAGCCGGATACAAAACAGAACAGAGCAGCAAAACAATTTGATCGCAAGACCAGAGAATGCCAGAGATCCTGAGTATGCAAGACTGTGCTGGTTCCCAATGGAATATCAATGCAAGCAATAAGGACTTATGTATTATTCAAAGGTCATTCCCACTGAATTCTGATTAACACACACACATAGAGAGTTATTTAGGAGTGTCGGTAGTAGTTTGAATTATGAACTTCAGAAGACCAGGATGCAAATTCTGCCATAGACACTTGCTGGGTGACTTTGGATAAGTCACATTCTCTCGGCCTCAGAGAAAGGCAATGGCAAAGCTGCTCTGGATAACTCTTGCCATGGAACTCCAGTATAGGGCTAGATATAAGCACATATGGTTCTGACTGCTGGTCAGAGTCAACAGAGGCGCAAAACAAAAGAGGAATATTGATACTTTATTCAGACTCTACTTTAGTTGCTTAGCCTGGTTCCATATTGAAAAATGAGCAAAATAATTCAGCATGCTTTACCTGGCCATTCTGAGTATTAAGTGAAGCATATATGGGGGAAAACTCCCAAAATGCTGAGCATTATTACCAGATATAAAAACAATACTTTTTAAAAAATCATATCAAAAGTGGCTTGAGAAACTGCAAGTCGCTTCTGGTGTGAGAGAATTGGCTGTCTGCAAGGATATTGCCCAGGACACGCCCTGATGTTTTACCATCCTGTGGGAGGTTTCTCTCATGTCCCCACTCAGGAAGCTGGAGCTAAGAGATGGGAGCTCACCCTGTCTCACGGATTCGAACCGCTGACCTTCAGATCAGCAGTCCAGCCGGCACAAGGGTTTAGCCTAGTGGTTCTCAACATTCCTAATGCCGCAACCCCTTAATACAGTTCCTCACGTTGTGGTGACCCCCCAGCTATAAAATTACTTTCGTTGTTACTTCACAACTGTAATTTTGCTACTGCTATGAACTGTAATGTAAATATCGGATATGGAGGATGTATTTTCATTCACTGGGCCAAATTTGGTACAAATATCCAATACGCCCAAATTTGAATACTGGTGGGATTGGGAGGGATTGATTTTGTCATTTGGGAGATGTAGTTGCTGGGATTTATAGTTCACCTACAATCAAAGAGCATTTTGAACTCCACCAAGGATGGAACAGAACCAAACTTGGCACACATAACTCCCACGACCAACTGAAAATACTGGAAGGGTTTGGTGGGCATTGACCTTGAGTTTTGGAGTTGTAGTTCACCTACATTCAGAGAGCACTGAAGACTCAAACAATGATGGATCTGCACCAAAATTGGCATGAATACTCAATATGATGAGTTTAATTTACAATATTCAGAAGGACATCATTTTTTGTTACAAGGAATACCGAAAATATATTTTTTACATCAGTACAAAAGTTGCATATACATAAAGGATCTGGAAGTTCAGGCAATTCTCAGGTGTGGATTTTATTCATAAGCCAGTCCCCTTCTATTTTTGTGTATGCAGATTTGGGACATGAATATTCAAAAACCCAGACAGTCTTTTAACTGGAGACACATTTCAATTTTATGAGGTGAAAGACTGTAATTTTCTTATGATCAAAGGTGTAAATATATTTCCTCCCAACATGTATGTATAAGCAATTTCGCAACGAACAACAGAGTCCAGTTAATATTCATTCATCTTTGTGTGTGTTCAGGAACAAAAGCAAGCTTCCCAGTATCTAGATGAGGCCTAGGCAAACTTTGGCCCTCCAGGTGTTTTGGACTTCAACTCCCACAATTCCTAACAGCCGGTAGGCTGTTAGGAATTGTGGGAGTTGAAGTCCAAAACACCTGGAGGGCCAAAGTTTGCCCAGGCCTCATCTAGATGGTAGAATGAGTTTCTTTTCCCACGCCAGGAGTTATTTCATTAGCCTTTTCTTCTGTTTCAGAAGTGCTTCCTTTAAAGCAACCTGCAATGCCAGAAAAAAAGGATGTAAACACAGAAAAGAAGAGCTTTCAAAACCAAAACAAGTCAATTGCACAATATTGAAAACCCCCTGCAAACTCTACACTTTACATATCAAACACTGTACACAACATTTCCTTTGTTTTATGTGTGTTTGGGTATATTAGGAGTGCTTTGTTTGTATATTCTTTCTTGCAAAGGCAGCCTACCCATCTAAGTGCTAACCAAGGCTGACCCTGCTTAGGTACCATCATCAGACAAACTATGGTGCCTTTAAGATATTTATGCCCCTGAGTAATCAGTTACATTTGTTGAGCGAGTGGGCTTATTAACAAAAGACTCTCCCCAGAAAGTTACAGCAAAGTAACTTATTAGCAGTAGTGTGACCCAGCACCAGTAGCTCAAACTGATAAAAAGGACAAAAACAGTCTGAATTTGGAAGTCCCGGAATAATTTGTTGTTGTTGTTAGTTTCATCATTTGTTTCACTCATCTCTTTCAACAGGCCTACCCAGCATTTTAAATTTACATTCTATTACTGTTGTATATGTGTGTGTGTGTGTGTGTGTATGTATATATACACACACACACACACACACACACACACACACACACACACAAACACACACACACTAGCTGTCCCCTGCCACGCGTTGCTGTGGCCCAGTCTGTATATATGTTTTGTGTGTATGTATGTGTGTGTATATGTGTATATATTTATATCTATATGTCTGTCTGTCTGTCTGTCTGTCTGTCTGTCTGTCTATCTATCTATCTATCTATCTATCTATCTATGCAAACACACATATAAACACACATATATACACAAATATATAGATAGATGGGTGTATATGTGAGTGTGCATATGTCTGTATATATGTATACACTCATATACATATACACATACAGACAGACAGACACACAGACACATGTACACAAGCACACACAAATATACACATACATATAGACATGCACACATACATGCACACATACACATATATTTACATATACACATGCATACATACACATATATACACAAGCACAAACATATACACAATATACATATACACATATAAACACAGAAATACACAAATATATACACATATATAGTTTATTTTGGGGTTTTTAAGTCCATTCTGCTGGGTTTTTTGTGTGTTTTTAGGGGTGATGGACACTCACTGGCCTGAGAAGTGTATTATGTCCAAGTTTGGTGTCAATTCATCCAGTGGTTTTTTTAGTTATGTTAATCCCACAAGCGGACATTACATATAGTATTAATATATTATTATTATTCCCTGCTTTTTCCCTCCAAAAAAAGAGTCTTAAAGCATCTTATAGTAAAACCGATACAATACAATTTTAAACCTGGAAAACATGCAAACATCAAAACAGAATTAAATATTAACGGTATTAAAAACAAATAGTTAAAATCCTCAAAACTGAAATTAAACACTTAACGCTGATATAAAATCCTTCAATCTGGTATCAGTCCTTCAAAACCGGTATTATATTCATTTTACTGTATGTATTTTATGACGATGTGTCTTAACTGTGTTGTGCCCTGATAAGGAAAGACAACAATGAGTTGTTCTTGTTGTTATTGTTATTTTGATGAAAGCTGAGTCAAGGAATCCCTCTGGTCAAATCATCCATGCAGAGCAAAGGATTTCCTCACTGGTTGCTGTAATCTTTCCCTTTTTGGCTCTTTCCCCCTATATGCGGTTCACATCCCAAGCGCATGCATTCCTTCATCACCCACTTGCCTGCTTCTCCCGGAAGGAACGCTTGTTCTTTGTCCGGACGTTGTGGCTGTATCGCATCATCATGAAATTCTTCTGCTTCTTCTTCTCTTTGTTGGTGGTGCTGGCAAAAGGGTTCAGCTTGGCCTTCTTTTTCACAAAGTCTTTCCTATCCGTCCTGCCAGCCTAAAATCAAAAAGAAGAACACATAGCAACTCATCCAAACTGTGTGGTTTCATTTGAAGCACTGCTTTTTCAAATGCATAACTTGGCCAGAGGCTGAGAATATAACACGAAGAGAAACAGAACCAATTTCAATCACCGTAAATGTCGTTACTCTGATCTTTAATTATAGATTTAAGCACTGTCCAACACATATTTTGGTGCCACAAATGTTAGCCCTGTGTCTGGGTATATTTCACCTGCTGATTACAAAAATAGCACCTGATTTCCCCTACCAGTTTGAGCTTTTTGAGATACACAACATATGCCACTCTTCATCTGCTTCACCATAAAAAATCAGGATATTTTAATGCAGTGTTTACATTAATATCATTTAATGTATTGTTGAAGGCTTTCATGTCCAGAATCACTGGGTTGTTGAAGGTCTTTCGGGCTGTATGGCCATGTTCTAGAAGCATTCTCTCCAGACATTTCACCTGCATCTTTGGCAAGCATCCTCAGAGGTTGTGAGGTTTGCTGGAAACTAATATACTGTGTCCAGGTTGGTTCATCGGGTGCTCTGCTATGGCTGCCTTCTCTGGTAGAAGAGGGATCCTCTCACATCTGCAGGAGTCTACCGTATACCATGCAGTTGTGGACAAGTTTACATAGGGACCATCAAATGCTGCAATGCCCAGGCACGATTCAAGGAACATGAAAGGCACTGCAGACTAATTCAACCAGAGAAGTCAGCCATAGCAGAGCTTGATTAGCACTGAATTAGCATTGAATGGCCTGCAGCTTCAAAGCTGATGAACCAACCTGGGCACAGCATATTATTTGAGAACACAGAAACGCTGGACCACTCCAGCAACTACCATGTCAGACTACACAGAGAAGCCATTCAAATCCACAAGCATGTGGACAATTCCAACAGAAAGGAAGAAACCATAAAAATGAACAAAATCTGGCTACCAGTACTAAAAAACTCTAAAATTATAACAGTAAATAAAAAATAAAACTAAAACACAGGGGAACTCCAGACAAGAAACATTCAGGAACACCTAATCACCTCTCAACAAAGGATTTTCCCAGGCAGTAAGAAGCTACACAAGCTGTATCACAAGTGAGGCTGGTGGGGACAAGGGACAGGGCCTTCTCGGTGGTGGCCCCTCGACTGTGGAATGCACTCCCCGGGGAAATTAGGTCATCAACATCCCTCCTCTCTTTCAGACGGAAGTTAAAAACCTGGATGTGGTACCAGGCCTTTGGGTAAGCTGGAAGATGGACAAATGACAATGACGACCAGAGTAGGAAAGGACAATGACAATGCGAGATGGATCACGGATTTATGAATTGGCGAACTTTGACCACAAGATGATTTTACTGCTGCTATTGTAGTGTTTTTGATTGTTTTAATTAATCATAATTGTTGATGTTTTATTGTAATTTGTACATTGTGTTTTGAGAATTGTTGGGCATCGAATTGTGCCTTTTGTAAGCCGCCCTGAGTCCCCCCTCGGGGGTTGAGAAGGGCGGGGTAGAAGCACTCCAAATAAATAAATAAAAATACACCTAAAAACTGTCAGGCCATCAACTTTATTTGTTTATTTATTTACTATATTTATATACCGCCACTCTCAGCCTGCAGGCAACTCAGGGCAATTTACAGTCAACATCAAAGCATAAGAATACAATAAAAACAATTAAGATATTATAAAATCATGATAAAATCAATAAAAAACATATGTCATTTGAGTCTCCTTGTTAAAACATTGTCCAATTACATTTGTTCAATCAGTCCATTTTCCTATGTCCGTTTCACTGTATTTACAAATGCTTGCTCAAAAAGCCAAGTCTTAACTTTCTTCTGAAATGTTAAAAGGGAGAGGGCCGACATAATAACCCTAGGAAGGGCATTCCATAGCCGAGGGGCTACCACTGAGAAGGCCCTGTCTCTCGTCCCCACCAGCCGTGCTTGTGACAAAGGCGGGATCGAGAGCAGGGCCTCCCCAGACGATCTTAAAGTCCTAGAAGGTTCATAAGGGGAGATGCGTTCCGACAGGTAAGTTGGGCCAGAACTGTTTAGGGCTTTATAGGCTAAAGCCAGCACTTTGAGTTGTGCCCGGTAGCAAACTGGCAGCCAGTGGACCTAGCGCAACAGAGGGGTTGTATGCTCTTTGAGCGCCGCTCCAGTTAGCAGTTTGGCTGCCCTCCGTTGGAACATTTGAAGCTTCTGGACAGTCTTCAAAGGCAACCCCACGTAGAGAGCGCTGCAGTAGTCTATACGGGATGTAACCAGAGCGTGGACTTCCGAGGCCAAATGCTAACCCCAGGCACTAACAAGCCACACCAAACAACTGTCAGGCCATCAAATGCTAATCAAGGTGGCCAACTGAAATATTCACACCTAGCTCCAACAGACAAGAGTTCTTTCTCCCAGCCGGAACCTTCCACAGATATATAAACCCAATTTTCCTAGTTTCCAACAAGCCTCACAACCTCTGAGGATGCTTGCCACTGATGCAGGCGAAAAGTTAGGAGAGAATGCTTCAAGAACATGGTCATACAGCCCCAAAAACCTTCAACAACCTGATATAATTTAAGCATGAACAAAACATGTTAAAAATCATTAGAAAAGAGTATGACATGAGAAGTCAACTTATTTCATACCTAAAGCACAGATTTATGTTGCAAACTTTTATAATTTTTATAAAACAGGCAAAGGGGAAAGGGTTGTTTGAACGTTACATATTCATCAGAATTAAAACTTCGCAAAACATCTGGCTACATCTCTCTAGTCTGAAGCAGACTAAAAACAAGAAGGTCTCACCATTGCTGTGGCCAATCTCGTCTCTTTATCCGATTTGGGTTTTTTATGAAGATGTTCAATGTCCCGAAGTGAAAGCAGCTCTCCCCTGGGGGAAAAAAACATAAATCAAGACTACAGTTTACCATGTCATGTCATAATCAAAATGCTTGTACTTTAAGGACATACAAGTATTTTATTTCATTATTTTTTATTATTTTATTATTATTTATTATTTTATGTTGCTATTTGGAGAGATAAATTAAGAGAGATATCAGCAGATCATAGAATCACCGAGTTGGGAGAGACCTTGTGGGCCATCCACTCCAACCCCATTCTGCCAAGAAGCAGGAAAATCGCTTAATGGTGTAACATTAGAAAATGTTGACCATTTCCGCTAACTTGGCAGCCACCTCTCCACTAAAGTCAACATTGACATTGAAATGCAACACTGCCTGAGCTCTGCGAGTGCAGCATTTGTCTGAATGAAGCAGAGAGTGTTTGAGGACAGGGACATCCTTAGGGATACCAAGGTGCTTGTTTATAAAGCCATTGTCCTCCCAACCCTGCTATACGCCTATGAAACATGGACTGTCTACAGACATCACACGCAACTCTTGGAACAATTCCGTCAACGCTGCCTCCAAAAACAACCCTGCAAATTTCTTGGGAAGACAGGTGGACAAGTGTCCGCATGCTGGAAGAAGCAAAGACCACCAGCACTGAAGTGATGCTCCTCCGCCATCAACTTCGCTGAACTGGCCACATTGTCCGAATGCCCGAAATCAGTTACTCTACTCTGAACTCAAGAACGGAAAACGTAATGTTGGTGGACAGGAAAAGAGATTTAAAGATGGGCTCAAAGCCAATCTTCAAAACTCTTGCATAGACGCTGAGCACTGGGAAGCCCTGGCCCTTGAGCGCTCCAGCTGGAGGTCAGCTGTGACCAGCAGTGCTGCAGAATTTGCAGAGGCATGAATGGAGGGCGAAAGGAAGAAGCGTGCCAAGAGGAAGCCAACCCCGACCAGGACCGCCTTCCACCTGGAAACCAATGCCCTCACTGCGGGAGAAGATGCAGATCAAGAATAGGGCTCCGCAGTCATCTATGGACCCACCGACAGAACACCGACCTTGGAAGATCATCATCCTCGAACTATGAGGGATCGCCTAAGTAAGTAAGTAAGTAAGTATGTCATGTCATAATCAAGATGCTTGTTTTTTAAGGGCATATACATATTTTAATTTAATTTATTATTTTATTATATTATTATTTATTATTATTTTACTTGCTATTTGGAGAGATAAATTAAGGGAAATAGCAGCAGATCATAGCATCACTGAGTTGGGAGAGACCTCGTGGGTCATCCAATCCAACCCCATTCTGCCAAGAAGCAGGAAAATCACATGCAAGGCACTCCCGACAAATGGCCATCCAGACTGTTCAAAAGCCTCCAAAGAAGGAGCTTCCACCACACTCTGGGGGAGAGAGAGAGTTCCACTGCTGAACATCTCTCACACATAGAAAGTTCTTCCTAATGTTCAGGTGGAATCTCCTTTCGTGTAGTTTGAAGACACTGTTCTGTGTCCTACTCTCCAGGGCAGCAGAAAACAAACCTGCTCCCTTCTCCCTATGACTGTCCCCTCACATCTTGATGCATGGCTATCATGTCTCCTCTCAGCCTTCTCTTCTGCATGCTAAACATGCCCAGCTCTTTAAGCCACTCCTCATAGGGCTTGGTACAGCATGGAACACGTCTACAATTTCTACCTTTTCTCCTCATCACTCTCTATTTCGACGTTCTTCCTCTTGGCCCCTTTTCCGGGTGCGGAATTGACCTCTTTGCTCAGCTGGGCAAGGCGTATTTTCTGGAAGTCTTCCTGGGTCAGAAGTCTGCTGGTGCTGACGGCTGCAGCCTTGGCCTTCTGCTCTTCCACAGGCATGCCTTTAAGTTTCTCGGCCTTTAAAGGGGAGGATTCAAGTTAGATCGCCCCTCTCTATAGGATGAGAAGTTAACCTTAATTTTCAAGGAACTCAGTAAAAGTGACAGCAATAATCAAAGAAACATCCTACTAATTCTTTTTGCTCTTCGTCTGAGGAATGATGCACATCAATCCATTCTCCGTCTTCGTCGTCTTCCTCTTCGCTTGTGCTGGCGGTCTCCCAACCATCTGCAAAGGAGAAAAAAGATGGATAGCAGGAGAATAAAAATCTCTCTCTAGAGGACAAACAGAATGTTATGGCTTCATTAAGGAAACAGGCACATCTCTAAAGGCAACAAGCTAGCAAGGATTGGAAATGCAATGCTGATATGTTTGTGCTATTCCTCAGCACAATCTTACTTACGTAGGTGATCCCTCACTGTCCGAGTATGATGGCCCTCCAAGTATAGTGTCTTGGCGGTGGATACGTAGGTGACTGTGGAGCCCTATTCTTGATTCGCATGTTTTTCTGCAGTGAGGACATCGGTTTCCAGGTGGAAGGCGGTCCCGGTAAGGGTTGGCTTGGCACACCTTCCTCTTGACATGTTTCTTCCTTTCGCCCTCCATTTGTGCCTTTTTAAATTCCGCAGCACTGCTGGTCACAGCTGACCTCCAGTTAACGTGCTCAAGGGCCAAGGCTTGATGTCTATGCCACAGTTTTTAGAGTTAGCTTTAAGCCCATCTTTAAATATATTTTCCTGTCCACCAACCATCCGTTTTCCATTCTTCAGTTGTGTTGCACTCCAGCAGGAAATAGGGCCCCCTTGTCATTAATACACCACACTTTGGTTTAGGAAAAATACAATCCCTTTTTATTGAATGGTGAATATAAAATAGATAGAAGTCCAAAGATAAAGAAGTCAAAATGAAACAGCAAACAGCAATGTCCAGAAAGCTTGCAGAAAATCCAAAGCAGTAAAATCCGGAATACTCTCAATAGAAATTCATGAACAGATTAGCCCCTGCTAAATCTCACTTGAAGCTAGAAATTCCCTTGGAGACCAGGCCGCTGGAAACTGGAAAACCTTGGAGCTTTGTACTTGAACTAAGCGATGCTTGGTCTGAGGAAATCCCCCTCACGGCCACTCTTAAATCCTAGAAAGTGACTCTAATCTTTGGTTTCAGTTGTCGAATTCTCTCCGACCTATGTAAACATTGAGTCTCCCTGCGGCTCTGGCTTATCTCTAAACTGCGGCTGTTATCATTGACCCGACCGGGTGTTCAGTTATCTTGCAAGTTCGAGCCAGAAGGAGAAGGGAGCGAATTTTCTTTCTCATGAGAACTTGGCTTTTCCTTTGAAGCCTCTAAATCAAAGCCTGTAGGATTTACTGCCCAAAGTGTCTCCATCTTGAACCTCATCCTCATTGATCACTTTAGCTTCACTATCCCAACATTTACATCAATATTTTGAACATTAGGCAATACAATCAGAGATTCAGGCTCAAGTTCACACACAGGCTCACACACAGGCTGAGTCCCAACAAGTTGGGAGTTTAGTAACTGCTTTGGGAGACAGTGATCAGGCATTCGTATCACAAACATATCAGCACTGACTTCCGTTTTTAACATCCATCACAATCTGTAACTTCTCAAACCAATTTGTGTTCTCTACCACAATCTGTGTCCTAACCAGCTTCACTGGAAGCATCTAAGAGAAAAAAAGGGCCCAAACTAACCTTCATGCTCTCCATCTTCCTCCTGGATTTCAAGGTCCAGCACTTCTGCTCCTGGAATATAGTCCTTGGCATCCAGTTCCCCGTATTCGTGGATTTTGGCTTCCAAAGTGGCTTCAGTTGGTTTACCCTAAAGAGCAATCCAAACGTTTCAATTTTGTTTTTATGCACAACATTGTACTCTACTTATAACTTCATACAATTTGTGCAATTCAACGAAAGGCAAGGGAGCTAATCAGACCTCATCTGAAGTACTGCATTTATTTCAAGAAGAATATGGACAAGTTGGAGCCAGTTCAGAGAAGGACAATGAAGATGGGTTTTGTTTTGTTGTTGTTTCCCATATCAGAAGCGACCTGAGAAACTGCAAGTCGCTTCTGGTGTGAGAGAATTGGCCGTATGCAAGGACGTTGCCCAGGGGATGCCCGGATATTTGATGTTTTACCATCCTTGTGGGAGGCTTCTCTTATTTATTTGTTTGTTTGTTTACAGTATTTATATTTCACCCTTCTCACCCCGCAGGGGACTCAGGGCGGATTACAATGTACACATATATGGCAAACATTCAATGCCAAAGACACACAGCACATATAGACAGACAGTCAGAGGCTATTTACTTTTCTGGCCGCCAGGGGAGCTGTCGCTTTCATCGTCCATCTGCGACACTATTGAAGTACTTCCGCATTCCCCACATGCTTTGCTGGAGTCTTTTTTATGGCCTCGTAAATTAGTTAAATAAGCCTCCCCACACATAGTGGTACCTAATTTTCCTACTTGACAGATGCAACTGTCTTTCGGGTTGCAAAGGTCTACAACAAGCTACACAATTGGTTGGAAGCTCACTCTGACCCGGGCTGGCTTCGAACTCATGATCTTTTGGTCAGAAGTGATCTTAATGCAGCTGACACTCAGCCAGTTGCGCCACAGTCTCAGGCATGTACCCACATAGGAAACTGAAGCTGACAGAGGGAGCTCATCCACGCCCTCCCCAGATTTGAACTGCTGACATATTGGTTAGCAGTCCTGCCAGCACAAGAGTTTAACATACTGCGCCAATGAGGGCTCCTAATGAAGATGGTAACAACAAGTCTGTGGTGGAGGCTCCTTCTTTGGAAGCTTTTAAACAAAGGCTGGATGGCCATCTATCAGGGGTGATTTGAATGCAATATTCCTGCTTCTTGGCAGGGGGTTGGACTGGATGGCCCATGAGGTCTCTTCCAACTCTTTGATTCTATGATTCTATGATTCTATGAAAGCAAACACTGATTATGGTGTTTTTTTAAAAAAAAAATAAAGGACAACATTTTGCAACACCATTGCATATAACGGGACTAGAATATCCACAATTTTTGATATCAACAGAGATCCTGGAACCAAACCCGAGCAGATACAATACTGTGAGATAAAATACTCACTATATTGGGATTTGAACTCAGGATCTTCTGTGTTTGGCAGAAATTGAACTGGGGCCTTTGGCATACAAAGCGCAAACTCTGTCACTGAGCTGTGGCCTTTTCTGCACATGACTGGAAAGCATCATTTTACGACATTTTTATGTAGCATCATGTCTATCAATTCAGTAGACACTTATACATACAAATATGTGAGAGGAAGCCACAGGGAGGAGGGAGCAAGCTTATTTTCTGCTTCCCTGGACACGGAACAATGGCATAACAATACAGAAAAGGAGATTCAATCTGAACATGAGGAAGAACTTCCTGACTGTGAGAGCTGTTCAGCAGTGGAACTCTCTGCCCCGGAGTGTGGTGGAGGCTCCTTCTTTGGAAGCTTTTAAACAGAGGCTGGATGGCCATCTGTCAGGGGTGATTTGAATGCAATATTCCTGCTTCTTGGCAGAATGGGGTTGGACTGGATGGTCCATGAGGTCTCTTCCAGCTCTATGATTCTATGACTTGCTCAAAAAACTTTCATCCAAACTCACAACTTTCCTCTGCATAAACTTCTTGTCACGACAAATATCAGCAGATCAAATATCAATTTCCACAATCACTTATACCAACGTAATATGGTAGCCCACTCTCTATCTCAGGAAAGATCATATTCCAAAGACAAAAGTTATCAAAGGCTTAGCAAGGCATTTCTTCCGCTAGTATAAATATTTAAAGCATATTTCACCCTGAATTTTTTCTGCAACATCTGTGGTTTCAGAGATCGAAACAAGTGTATCAACGTTCTTGCTGACATCATGACATCTGTAATGAAAAACAAATTTAAGATAATCTGTAAAACATAATTATAAAATAGATTTGGTAATTACACCAGTCTTTTCTTCTAGTCGTTATTTCCTATTTTCTTTAAAAACAGAAATATGCAAAGCACCCAATCTCTTAAGAATAATAGTATAGAATGGTTAAATAAAGAGATTTTATTGGATTTGGAATGAAATAAATCAACAATTTACAAAGGCCTGCCACGTTGTATACATCAAAACATGAATTTTGCACGTTCCTAGTCCTTAGAGCAAGAAAACAGACAACCTTTAGGCCATTTTTCACATGTGCAAAGTAATAAACTTACTCTTATTTTTATGAGATCTGTATTGTGCCAGATCTTGAAGCAAGTCTTCTGTCATAGCCAGAGGGCATCGGGCTGATATCTCTTTAATAGCATTAATTCTGCAAAGTTGAAAGAACAGAAACACTGAAATTACAGAATCTAGTAGAAACATAGAATCAGAGTGGGAAGAGACCTCGTGAGCCATCCAACCCCATTCTGCCAAGAAGCAGGAAAATTGCATTCAAAGCACTCCCAACAGATGGCCATCCAGCCTCTGCTTAAAAACCTCCAAAGGAGGAGCCTCCACCACACTCCAGGGCAGAAAGTTGCACCACTGAACAGATCTCACCATTAGGAAGTTCTTCCTAATGTTCAGGTGAAATCTCCTTTCCTGTAGTTTGAAGCCATTTTTCCAGTGCGCCCTAGCCTCCAGGGCAGCAGCAAACAAGCCTGCTCCCTCCGTCCTATGACTTCCCCTCACATATTTAGGCATGGCCCTCATCATGTCTCCACTCAGCCTTCTCTTCTGCAGGCTAAACATGCCCAGCTCTTTAAGCTGCTCCTCATAGGGTTTGTTTTCCAGACCCTTGATCATTTTAATCACCACTTTCCAGCTTGTCAACATCTCCCTTCAATTGTGGTGCCCAGAACTGTAGTGCACCCCCCCCCTTAAAAACAATACAATAATTAAAATGAACAACAATTTTAACAAATATAAAAATGTAAATGGGAAGTGTGGGCCTGCTTTTGGCTGATGAGATAGGATTGTTGTTGTTGTTGTTGTTGTTGTATGTTTTCAAGTCATTTCAGACTTAGATTGACCCTGAGCGTGGGCCGGGTAAATGACCTTGGAGGGCCGTATCCGGCCCCCGAGCCTTAGTTTGAGGACCCCTGGTTTAAGCCATGCTTTCATATCTTCAAGTCACATCAACCTGAGCTCTCTTATCACAACACTACAGGCATGTAGCCGGGGGGGGGGGGCAGCTTGGGGGGCTTCAGCCCCCCCCCCCAAATTCTCATGGTGGTTTGCGAAAAGGCCTTACTGGTGCATTATTTAAACTGTTGTATTTATTCATATCATGATCTGATCACCATACTCAATATATCCCATATGCATGAGGGTATTGGGGTAACAATACAAAAGGTTTGCTAGGGTAGACCCTCTTTCACTCAGACTCAGCCCCCCCCCCCCCCCCCCCCCCGAAACAAACTCAGCCCCACCCCCCCCAAACGAAATCCTGGCTACGGGCCTGCAACACTGCATATCTGGGGAACTTCCGTCCCAAAATCTAGGCATTTGGACTTAACCAGTTGAAAGCAACGGCTGTCACTTCTCATTCTTGCCATTTCTCCTCTCTGGGTGAACATAGTGAAAGTAGAATTTCGACAACAATGGATCATTATGTTTGCGCAGTTCATGAACCGGAGGCTTTATTCCTTTCCTGTAACTCTACAGTGAGAACCATGTCTGTAGCTGATTATTCCCAGAGGGGTCAGACCTTCACCAAGAAGCCTTTGCTTTGTGCTTCCGCCAACTCAATGTCTCGCATGAATGGAGTAACAAAGAAATAGAGGTCCTGTGTCTCACCTACTGTCTTCTGCATCCAAGCCTCTGCTTTGTGCTTCTACCAACTCAAATTCTTGCACAAATGTAGAAACAAAGCAGCAAAAGTTCCTGCCTCTCACTTACTACATCAATATGTATAATATCACAAAGGACTACCACCTCACCTGCCTCATAGAAAACCTGCTACAAAACAGGAGCTTTTTTGTTAAGTTCCAGGGCCAGAGAAGTAGATGGTGGAAACAGAAGAACGGCCTGCCTCAGGGGAGTGTGCTTGTCCCATCCATGTTCAACATCTACACAAATGACCAGCCACTGCCAGAAGGGACAGAGAGTTTCAACTATGCTGATGATCGTGCCATTACTGCTCAAGCAGGGAGCTTTGAGATGGTAGAACAGAAGCTCTCCAAAGCTCTAGGTGCTCTTACTGCCTATTATAGGGAAAACCAGCTGATCCCTAACCCATCTAAAACACAGACATGTGCTTTTCATCTCAACAACAGACAAGCATCCTGAGCTCTAAGGATTACCTGGGAAGGAATCCCACTGGAGAATTGCAGCACACACGAATACCTGGGAGTCACTCTGGCCCGTGCTCTGACCTACAAGAAGCATTGCCTGAACATCAAGCAAAAAGTGGGCGCTAGAAACAATATAATTTGAAAGCTGACTGGCACAACCTGGGGATCACAAGGAGACACAGTGAAGACATCTGCCCTTGCGCTATGCTACTCTGCTGCTGAGTACGCATGCCCAGTGTGGAATACATCTCACCACACTAAAACAGTGGATGTGGCTCTTAATGAGACATGTCGCATTATCATGGGGTGTCTGCGCCCTACACCACTGGAGAAATTACACTGTCTAGCCGGTATTGCACCACCTGACATCTGCCAGGAAGTAGCAGCCAATAGTGAAAGGATCAAGGCAGTGACATCTCCAGCTCATCCCCTATTTGGGTATCAGCCAGCACATCAACGACTTAAATCTAGAAATAGTTTTCTAAGATCTACAGAGACACTCGCTGGAACACCTCAGCAAGCGAGAGTCCAAAAGTGGCAGGCTTAAACCCAGAACCTCAACCAATGGCTGATACCAAATGAGAGGCTCCCTCCTGGGCACACAGAGGACTGGGCGACTTGGAAGGTGCTGAACAGACTGCGCTCTGGCAGAGCCAACCTTCAGAAATGGGGCTACAAAGTGGAATCCACGACATGCAAGTGTGGAGAAAAGCAAACCACTGACCACCTGCTGCAATGCACCCTGAGCCCTGCCACATGCACAAGGGAGGACCTTCTTGCGACAACACCAGAGGCACTCCAAGTGGCCAGATACTGGTCAAAGGACATTTAATCAACTACCAAGCTTGCTAACTCTGTTTTGTCTGTTTGTTTGTTTGTTTTGTTCTGTTAGAAATGTAATACAATTGACTGGTTGCCCTGACACGACAAATAAATCAATATTTATTTATTTATTTATTTATGACATTTATATGCCGCCCTTCTCACCCTAAAGGGGACTCAGGGCGGCTTACAAGATATATATATACATGTTGTTGTTCATTCATTCAGTCGTTTCCGACTCTTCGTGACCTCATGGACCAGCCCACGCCAGAGCTCCCTGTCGGCCGTCACCTCCCCCAGCTCCTTCGGAGTCAAGCCAGTCACTTCAAGGATGCTATCCATCCATCTTGCCCTTGGTCAACCCTTCTTCCTTTTGCCTTCCACTTTCCCCAGCATCATTGTCTTCTCTAGGCTTTGCTGTCTCCTCATGATGTGGCCAAAGTACTTCAACTTTGTCTCTAATATCCTTCCCTCCAATGAGCAGTCGGGCTTTATTTCCTGAAGTATATATACATGCAATATATTATATTATTGGCTTCGTACAAAATCAGTATTATATATTGCTATATTGTACTATACCATTATATTGTAATATTATTAGTAATAAAATAGTAATAAAAATGCTCAAAACACTTCCCTAATCTCCACTGCCATTACTTACCCAACAGTCATCACTTCCCCTGAGTTTTTGTCAGTGACAAAGTTGTTGGCTATTGTCATCAGTACTGACTGGACAATCTGACGGAAAGGAAACAAAGCTGTAAACTGGTCTAGCATTTGTTAAAATGCTGCTTTAATTACATTCAATATTTCTTGTGATTGCTTTATATATTAATGTATGAGACTAGAAATTTTATTTTAAAAATGAACAAGGAAACGTGGGTTGATTTATTAATGAGTCAGTGCAAATACTGTAACACAATTTTTATCAAAGTGTGTAAAGTCGTAAAAGGCAAGAGATTAGTCCATCCCGGAAGAACCTAAAAGAAGGAACAACTTCCTCTACTCCAGTGTTTCTCAATCTGGGGGTCGGGACTGCAAGGGCGGTGTCAGAGGGGTTGCCAAAGACCATCACAAAACACATATTTCTGATGGTTTAGGAACACAGTGCTCTCTGAAGGTAGGTGAAATACATCTCCCCTAAATGACTGTCAATTCCTCTCAAATCCCTCCAGCATTTTCTGTTGGTCCCAGCAATTACAACTCCCAAATGTCAAGGTCTATTTTCCCCAAACTCCACCAGTGTTCACATTTAGGCATATTGTGTATTTGTGCCAAGTTTGGTTTAATTCCATCATTGGTGGAGTTCTGAATGCTCTTTGATTGTAGGTGAACTATAAATCCCAGCAACTCCCAAATGACAAAATCAATCCTCCCCCCCCCCCCAACCCCACCAGTACTCAAATTTGGGTGTATCGGTATGAAAATATATCCTGCATATCAGATATTTACATGATGATTCATAACAGTAAAGTAGTTATGAAGCATCAACAAAAATAATTTAATGGTTGGGGGGTCACCCCAACATGTGGAACTGTATTAAGCAGTCACGGCATTAGGAATGTTGAGAAACACTGCTCTATTCTCTTGGCTGCAATGCCATTTTTGGCCTTTATTAATGCCTGGATGGAGAAATCGCAATGGTGGCAGCTCTTTAGAACTCCTCCTCAAAGGAGTAATACTGTATCTTATTTTTAATTTACTTATCTAAGGGCCTTTTTAATGCTGGGGAGGGAAAACCGAAGCATTTGTGGCCAGGAGTGATTGGCCCCGAGTCAGAGCTGGCGCTTTCCTCTCTATGTGGATTGACTCACAATTTTTTTTTCCATGTCAGGAGCGACTTGAGAAACTGCAAGTCGCTTCTGGTGTGAGAGAATTGGCCGCCTGCAAGGACGTTGCCCAGGGGACGCCCGGATGATTTGATGTTTTTATCATCCTTGTGGGAGGCTTCTCTCATGTCTCCGCGTGGGGAGCTGGAGCTGACAGAGGGAGCTCATCCATCTCTCCCCGGATTCGAACCTGTGACCTGTCGGTCTTCAGTCCTGCCGGCACAGGGGTTTAACCCTCTGAGCCACCGGGGGCTCCCAATTAATCCACATATATAAAAATATTTGTTTTTGGCCCCAAAAATCTGCCTTTGAATTATACATTACGAGAACTTAAATGTTAAGTTATGTTGTTGTTGTTCATTCGTTCAGTCGTCTCCGACTCTTCGTGACCTCATGGACCAGCCTACGCCAGAGTTCCCTGTCGGCCGTTACCACCCCCAGCTCCCTCAAGGTCAGTCCAGTCACTTCAAGGATGCCATCCATCCATCTTGCCCTTGGTCGGCCCCTCTTCCTTTTGCCTTCCACTTTCCCCCGCATAATTGTCTTCTCTAGGCTTTCCTGTCTCCTCATGATGTGGCCAAAGTACTTCAACTTTGTCTCTAGTATCTTTCCCTCCAGTGAGCAGTCGGGCTTTATTTCCTGGAGGATGGACTGGTTGGATCTTCTCGCAGTCCAAGGCACTCTCAGCACTTTCCTCCAACACCACAGCTCAAAAGCATCGATCTTCCTTCGCTCAGCCTTCCCTAAGGTCCAGCTATCACATCCGTAGGTTACTACAGGGAATACCATGGCTTTGACTAGGCGGATCTTTGTTGCCAGTCTGATGTCTCTACTCTTTACTATTTTATCGAGACTGGACATTGCTCTCCTCCCAAGAAGTAAGCGTCTTCTGATTTCCTGGCTACAGTCTGCATCTGCAGTAATCTTTGCCCCTAGAAATACAAAGTCTGTCACGGCCTCCACGGTTTCTCCCTCTATTTCCCAGTTGTCAATCATTCTTGTTGCCATAATCTTGGTTTTTTTGACGTTTAGCTGCAACCCGGCTTTTGCGCTTTCTTCTTTCACCTTGATTAGAAGGCTCCTCAGCTCCTCCTCGCTTTCGGCCATCAGAGTGGTGTCATCTGCATATTTGAGGTTGTTAATGTTTCTTCCAGCAATTTTCACCCCAGCTTTGCATTCATCAAGCCCCGCACATCGCATGATGTGTTCTGCATACAAGTTAAAAAGGTTGGGTGAGAGTATGCAGCCTGCCGTACGCCTTTCCCAATCTTGAACCAGTCTGTTGTTCTGTGGTCAGTTCTGACTGTTGCTACTTGGTCCTTGTACAAATTCCTCAGGAGAGAGACAAGGTGATTTGGTATGCCCATCACACCAAGAACTTGCCACAATTTATTATGATCCACACAGTCAAAGGCTTTAGAATAGTCAATAAAAGAAGATGTTTTTCTGAAACTCCCTGCCTTTCTCCATTATCCAGCGGATATTGGCAATTTGGTCTCTCGTTCCTCTGCCTTTTCTAAACCCAGCTTGAACATCTGGCAACTCTCCTCTCCATGTATTGCTGGAGTCTTCCTTGCAGGATCTTGAGCATTACCTTACTGGCATGTGAAATAAGGGCCACTGTACAGAAGTTTGAGCAGTCTTTCGCATTTCCCTTTTTTGGTATGGGGATATAAGTTGATTTTTTCCAGTCTGATGGCCATTCTTGTGTTTTCCATATTTGCTGGCATATGGCATGCATCACCTTGACAGCATCATCTTTTAAGATTTTAAACAGTTCAGATGGGATCCCGTCATCTCCTGCTGCCTTGTTGTTAGCAATGCTTCTTAAGGCCCATTCAACCTCACTCCTCAGGATGTCTGGTTCTAATTCATTCACCACACCGTCAAAACTATCCTCAATATTATTATCCTTCCTATACAGATCTTCTGTATAGTCTCGCCACCTTCTCTTGATCTCTTCAGCTTCTGTTAGGTCCCTGCCATCTTTGTTCTTATCATACCAATTTTTGCCTGAAATTTACCTCCAATGTTTCTAATTTTCTGGAAGAGGTCTCTTGTCCTTCCTATTCTGTTGTCTTCCTCCACTTCCATGCATTGCTTATTTAAAAATAGTTCCTTATCTCTTCTGGCTAACCTCTGGAATTGCGCATTTAACTGGGCATATCTCCCCTTTTCACTGTTTCCTTGCTTTCCTCCTTTCTTGGGCTACTTCCAGTGTCTCAGCAGACAACCATTTTGCCTTCTTGGTTTTCTTTTTCTTTGGAACGTACTTTGTTGCCGCCTCCTGAACAATGTCGCGGACTTCTGTCCATCGTTCTTCTGGGACTCTGTTTACTAAATCTAGTCCTTCAAATCTGTTCTTCACTTCCACTGCATATTCGCTAGGAATGTTAGTGAGATCATATCTAACTGGTCTGTGTATTTTCCCTGATCTCTTTAGTTTTATTCTAAATTGAGCAATAAGAAGTTCGTGATTTGAGCTACAGTCAGCCCCAGGTCTTGTTTTCACCGACTGGATGGATGTCCGCCACCTTTGGCTGCAAAGGATGTAGTCAATCTGATTTCGGTGTTGACCATCTGGTGAGGTCCATGTATAAAGCCGTCTTTTAGGTTGTTGGAAGAGAGTATTAGTTATACACAGCGCGTTTTCCTGGCAAAATTCTATCAGCCTGCGTCCCGCTTCATTTTGTTCTCCCAGACCATGCTTGCCTGTGATCCCAGTTGTCATTTGACTTCCCACCTTGGCATTCCAGTCTCCTGTAATGAAAATAATGTCTCTTTTTGGTGTATTATCCAGTAGGTCCTGCAGATCCTCATAGAACTGATCTACTTCTGCTTCTTCAGCAGCTGTGGTTGGGGCATATATTTGGATCACGGTAATGTTGAAAGGCTTTCCTTGCACTCGAATTGAGATCATTCTGTCATTTTTTGGGTTGTATCCAAGCACCGCTTTAGCGAATTTCTTATTAATTATGAAGGTTACTCCATTTCTTCGATGTTCCTCTTGTCCGCAGTAGTAGATCTGGTGGTCATCTGATGTGAAGTGGCCCATTCCAGTCCATTTCAGTTCGATGACCCCCAGAATGTCTATCTTTAGTCTTGACATCTCACCAATAACAACATCCAATTTGCCCTGGCTCATAGATCTTACATTCCAGGTTCCTATGGTGTGTTGATCTTTAGAGCATCGGATTCGTCATTCACCTCCAGTACCGTCGGCCGCTAGCCTTCCTTTCGGCTTTGAGCTAGCTGCGTCATCACATCTGGGGCTAGTTGAACTTATCCTCTGCTCCTCCCCAGTAGCATTTTGGCCATCTTCCGACCTGGGAGTCCCATCTTCCAATGGCATACTGACATATCTCTGGTTGTACTGGTCCATTTAGTTTTCTTGGCAAGGATACTGGGGTGGTTTGCCATTGCCTTCCCCAGGGATCACGCTTGGTCTGACCTCTCTGCCACAACCGTCCCGTCTTGGGTGGCCCTTCACGGTTTCGCTCATGACATCATTGAGGTGCTCAAGCTCCAGCGCCCCGACAAGGCGGTGATCCTTTGCTGGAGATGTTAAGTTATATACCCAAGGAAACCTAGTGAGGTTATTCATTAGGAATACGTACAGGTAGCACCAGAGCCACTTTTCTGAAGTCTCAGAAAGCTGGAGTAGTCTTCTTGCACATCCAGTGTACATGTGGGCATCATATGCTATCCTCACACCAATTATTCTATTTATGCTTTGCTATTTTCAATTTCCCCAAGACTGGAACTAAATGCAGTTAAATGGGTTTTTCAGTATTTACAATATGAAAAGTCTCTCCATCTCAGGACCTAAAGGCCCAGGAGTTACTCCTCACTGTTTACTCTTAGGAAGGCGGACTAGCCACATTTGGATAAATCCTCACCTCTGGAGGAACAAGCTGATGAGAAGCTTGGGCAGCGAAGAGAAGAATCTTGGTGACCTCTGTTAAAAATGAAAAGAAAACAGCAGTCAAAAGACTAAACAGGATGGGACACTGGACACTTTTTTTGTGAAATGAAAAATCACAAAAACTATTGCCAATAGGAACAAGGACAGTTGTTTTCTACTAAATCAGAGTACAAGGCCATACAGTATTATTGACCGCAGAGATGGAACTGTGTGAACCTCCATATTTATTTACCAGTATTTATTTGTTTGTTTACTTATATTCTGCCCTTCTCAGGGTAGATCACAGAATACATATATGACAAACATTCAATGCCGATGATACAATGACAAGACAGATAACAAATAGAGGTATATTTAGGCTTTTCCTCATCATTTGGCATCTTTTGGAGGTTCTGGCCACAGGGGGTTGTTGTCGCTCCATCTCCAAGCCAAAGAGCTTTCTTTGTTTGCAAACTTTCCTCTGAAATGCCTAAAATACCTCCCTGCTTAATGCAATTCCTATTCAGCTACTCACATTGCTGTTTTCAATCCACTAGATGGGCAGGGGAGCTGGGATGAAGGTCAGAAGCTCACCCAGACCCAGCTTCAAACTGTCAATCTTTTGATTATTTATTTATTTAAAACTTTTATATGCCGATCTTTTCTAACCTCCGTAGAGGGACTCAGACCGGCTCACAACAGAGTTCAATAATAACAATACAATATAAAAACATCATACAATAACAGCAAATTAAAATACATATAGATTGAAGGATTCTTCCCCTATGAACCATCAAGGTTGTTAAGATCTTCTGGAGAGGCCCTGCTCTCAGTCCCACCGCCTTCGTAATCGTGTTTGGTGGGGACGAGGGACAGGGCCTTTTCGGTGGTGGCCCCTCGGCTTTGGAACTCCCAATGGAGATTAGATCTGCCTCTTCCCTCCTGACGTTTAGAAAGCTGGTAAAAACATGGCTTTGGGAAACTGCATTTGCAGAATGATGACTGAGTCAATAACTGCTGACCTTTCTGGCAGATGGCTATGAATTTGTGATTCATTCTGACGAACTGATTTTTGCTGTAACTTGTATGAATTGTATGAATTGCATTTTAATGTATTTTATATTGATGATTTATAATACTTTTCCTATTGTATTGAATCTTATGTTGTTAGCCGGCCTGAGTCCCTCCTCGGAGGTCGAGAAGACCGGGTTATAAAAACTCTAAATAAATAAATAAATAAATAAATAAGATTTACAAATATGCCAAATCGCCCAGATAAAATCATGTCCAACTCAGTCCATGTGTGTGATTGATAACTTTGTTCTGTAGCCGGTCTCAACCATTACTCAGCCATAGCCAGGATTTCAACGGCCTCCTGAAGGACAAGAGGGAGGGGGCAGATATGATCTCAATTGGGAGAGAGTTCCATAGCTGAGGGGCCACCATAGAAAAGGCCCTGTCCCTTGTCCCCACCAGACTCGATTGCGAAAGTGGCGGGACCGAGAGCAGGCCCCACCTGAAGATCTTAATTGTCTTGATGGTTCATAGGGGAGAATACGTTCGGATAGGTAAACCGGGCCACATCTGTATAGGGTTTTGTAGGTTAAGTCCAGCACTTTGAATTGTGCTCGGAAGCTAATTGGCAGCCAGTGGAGCTGGTGTAACATGGGAGTTGTACACTCCTTGTACTCCGCTCCCATTAGTAGTCTGGCTACCGAACGATTGGCAAGATTTACTGCAGCTGCAGGTGGTGATTAACTTTCTGTGCTAAAGCCGGCTGCGCGAAAGGGATCTTGCAGTACATTTGAGACTAACTGAGCAAAGTAAGTTGGTAGTATAAGCTTTCATAGACTTCTGCCTACAACTAGCCCTCTGGATCTGTGGGTTTTGATTATTTGTGGATTTACTTAGTATAGTCTCTCACGGAATCTCTAGGTCCTCCAATGCAAACCTATGACCAACTTCTGGCAAAAGATAGGAGGAAGAAAAGATATAAACCCAATGAATGAACTGATATTTTATATCCTGTCCTCCATTTTAAAATGCAAACAGGACAAAGAAAAAGGCCAGGAGAAGGAATTTTACTACCGTCTCCTATAGTAGAATATTCATCAGCAGTGAATCAAACTGATTTCAACCATTAACATCAAATCATTCAGAGACGCAATTTAACTAATAATCTAAATATTATTTTTCCTGAAAGAAAAAGAAAAATATAATGGAAGTGTAAAATGCAATGTTTGGTTACCTCTCTGGTGTGGCTGTAGGTACCGCTGGACAAAAGGGTAAAAGTTGAAGAGGAAGAGCTGAGAAAACACAAGCAATTGCAAAAAGTGACCTACACATCTTCATTTCTCACCAAAAGAGACAGTGACATGTTGGAAAATTCATTAATATTCAACACTGTTCAAACTAATACAATTAGTATGACCTTTTATCAACAAAGCTCATTTTAATGATATCAATGAATTATAATTTTACAGTCTTTGTATATGCTGTATTCAATGAATTATCAATGAAGAGCTTTAAAAATATTTTCTCATTAAGTATACACTCCTTCTGACAATTCAACTGGATGTTTGGGGATTTGAGGTGTTTTGTTTTGCAAGTTAAGACTTTGTTGTCCTCTAAGCCCTTTTAAACCTTCCTTTTAATCCTCATACACATTGGTTGCTGTGACAATTACTTTATTTTATATCTGCTTTTGATTTTTCATTTTTGTCCCATTTTGGCTATTTGTTTAACACTATATTTTTATTATCTTGGCTTGGTCTAGGTACCCATTTAACATCATATCACTGTACTACTGCTGCATTTTAAAATAATTTTTAAAAGAGAATGCAAAGCTATAGTACCCACATCATTTGTGATCGGAAATAATCTTTGGTCTCCAAAGACTATTTCAGGTCATAAAGAGGGATGTACAGGAAATACCCTGGTCATTCCACAGATATATTAACCCCTTTTCCTAGTTCCAATAGACCTCACTACCTCAGAGGATGCTTGCCATAGATGCAGGCAAAACGTCAGGAGAAAATGCCTCTAGAACATGGCCATATAGCCCGAAAAAACCTACAATAACCCAGTGATTCCGGCCATGAAAGCCTTCGATAGTACGGGAAATAGATTTTACGGTTACCCAAAACCCTGTTAAATTAATATTTATACCTCATGAATGCCAACAAGACGAGAAATAAGTTCCATGAGCATCATTTTCACTTCGAATCTTTCCTTTGAGGATTCAAGCTGTTTTAAGAGCTTCTCTGCAAAGTCTGAATCAATATAAAAGAAGAAAGGTATTAGACAAGGGAAAAAGACATATTCTTAAGTCACAAAGGAAATTACTTATCATTCCACAGCTTAAGTATGATGTATTCCTCTAGGACTACAGCCCCCATGGCAACAGCTCCATCTACTAATCATTCATTTGACTTTAATGAATAAGATGCAACTTTTGGCTTTGCAGGAATTCTTCTAACTACCAGGGCCAGTTTAACAAAGTAATGTATTTCCCTCCGGGATGCCAGTATTGCACCTCTTTTTTTTTTTCTAATTTCTGTTACTTCTACACCCATTAATTCTTGGTTAGTGGTCCATTAAATTGGGTTGCTGGGAGTTTTCCGGGCTTTATGGCCATGTTCCAGAAGCATTCTCTCCTGCCGTTTCACCCACATCTATGGCAGACATCCTCAGAGGTTGAGGATGTCTGCTTCTGTTGGAAGCTAGGAAACTGGGATTTATATATCTGTGAAATGTCTGGGGTGGTAGAAAGAGCTCTTGTATGTTTGAGGCAGGTGTGAATGTTGCAACTGGCCACCTTGATTAGCATTGAATGGCCTTGCAGCTTCAAAGCCTGGCTGGTTGCTGCCTGGGGGATCCTTTGTTGAGAGGTGTTAGATAGTCCTGATGGATTCTTGTCTGGAATTTCCAACACTGTACATGATATGGTAGACTCCCGCAGAAGTGAGAGGATCCCTCTTGTCCTTTAGTGAAGGTAGCATTGGTTGGATTTTCTTAGTGATTCTGTAGATGGTTTGTGGGTTGTGTTTCTTCATCAGCTTCCCTATGCAGTCAGTGATTCCCTTGATGTATGGCAAGAACACTTTTCCTCTGGGTGGATCTTTGTCTTTACATGATAGAGGAAAAGTGTTCTTACCATACATCAAATGCTACGTTGAGCAAAGGACAAGAGGGATCCTCTCACCTCTTCAGGAGTCTACCATATACCATGCAGCGGGGGACAAGTCTACATAGGGACCACCAAACACAGCCTTGCCCAGACACGAGTCAAAGACCATTAAAGGCACTGCAGACTAATTAGACCAGAGAAGTCAGCCATAGCAGAAACAGTATATTATTTGAGAACACAGAAATGCTGGACCACTCTAATCACCACTGTGTCAGACTACACAGAGAAGTCACTGAAATCCACAAGCATGTGGACAATTTCAGAAAAATGGAGGAAACCACAAAAATGAACAAAATTTGGCTACCAGTATTTTAAAAAAAAAACACACCTCTAAAATCAGGACAGTAAATAAAGAGCAACACTCAAAAAACAGGGCAATTCCAGACAGGAAACAATCAGGGCCAGCTAACACCTCCAAACAAAGGACCCCTAGGCAGCAACCAGCCAGTCTTTGAAGCTGCAAGGCCATTAAATGCTAATCAAGGTGTCCAATGGTAACATTCACACTTGCCTCAAACAGACAATAGTTCTTTCTCTCACCACAGATATTTAAACCATATTTGTCTTCGTTCCAACAGACCTCACAACCTCTGAGGATGCCTACCTGCCATAGATGTGGGCGAAAAGTCAGGGGAGAATGCTTCTGGAACATGGCCATATAGTTCGGAAAATAAACAGCAACCCAGTGATTCTGGCCATGAAAACCTTCGAGGCCAAGTAAACCTCTGCCCTTCTCTCATTCATATTATACTGCTGTCCACTCATTCTGTTCTACCTATATTCCCAACCCCACAGTGGGGTTGGACTTGATGATCCATATGATCTCTTCCAACTCTATTATTCTACAAATCTAAGTCATCTTACTATATCATTTAAACCAGGCACAGACAAACTTCATTCCTCCAGGTGTTAGGCTGTTAGGAATTGTGGGAAACACCTGGAAGGCTGAGGTTTGCCCATGTCTGATTTAAACTGAAGCACATGTACAGTCTTCAAAGTTTCAGGGAAAAAAACTCTGCACTGATTCAATAACTTTTCCATTCCTCCACTGACTATATTTGAACCCCATTGTTTGACTCAGTTCTCGGCCTTTTCCGCTTGGCCACCACCACCTTTGAAGAGCATATATGCACAGAGTACTTGCCCTGGGGATCATGGATTAAATGGATCGCTGAGAAGTTGAAAATTTCTGGCTTTTTCTTCTTCTTGTGTTTCTTTGGAAAAGGGAGAGACATGAAATATGTCATTCAAGTTTTGAAATGAGAACAAAACAGAGGCCCCATTCACAATGCTAAATACTGCATTAGTTCAACTGAATTCTATGAACCTACACTGACATATGATGCTATTTAATATAGTCAAAATGCAGTATGAAACTACAGTATATGGTAGTGTAGATGGGCCCTGAGTTTTACAGATACAGCTTGAAGTTAAGCTCTTTTTGGGCAAGATATGCAGTTGAAGATGTGCCACATACTGGCACTATCTGTGATACCCTCAAACTTTCTAGGTGATCATGCCAGTGTCAATAATTAGATAGGAGCTAAAAAGGTGGAATCTTACAAGCACAAAACTGGGTGATGCGGCCAGCTGTCCAATATAAAATGGAAGTTTCTAGACATATAAATTCAGGCCCTTTGGAAACTTTACAGGCAAACATGGAGATCCAGGATGAGTGGAAAAGCCTGGTCAATGGAACAGGGCAACACCTTGCTATGGGCTTTTATGCTGAAAAGTGCTTCAAAAATGTGGCTTTGGGTGAAAATAACAAGCATTTATTTATTTATTTATTTATTTATTTATTTACAGCTTTTATATTCCGCCCTTCTCACCCTGCAGGGGACTCAGGGCGGATTACAGTGTACACATATATGGCTAACATTCAAGTATTCATACAAGCAGGCCCTGAAAATGTTACTTGCTTGAGCCAGAGTTTCCTAGAGAATCATTCAAAGAGACAGCCATGTTAAGTCTCTTTTAGTATAAAAGGAGAAGGGAAATAAAAGTACACGGGACATCTAACTGGCTTTTATTTTAGCATGAGATTTCCAAAGCCAGTTTCCTTGGGTTCAAAATTATCTCTCAGAAGATTCCTTTTGTTATATGTTTAATAGGGGGGGGGGGGGTTGTACTAATATAATGTCAGAATTATTAAAAATTAACTAGGTATTTTTAATTACAAAAATGTGAGTCAAGCACTGAAACGGTTAAATTGATGCAATGGCTCAGCAAAAGGTACAGTTCTATATAAGCAGGTGGTGTGCTGTAGCTTAGTAGCTGTCAGTTTGAGGTAAACCTCAATGGGAGAAAGGTCTCAGGCTGTGAGAAGACCTCACAGTGTGAGGTAGGCCTTAAGCCTCTGTGTGAGGTAGGCCTTCGTCTGTAAGAAGGCCTCAGAACGTGAGAAGGCCTGGTGTGAGAAGCTTCGGTGACAGAAACCCCAGGTTGTAAAGCCTCGTGTGTGGAGCTCTATTGTATAAAGGCTACTGTGTGTAAAAAGCTACTGTGTGAGGCTCCGGTATAAGTTTGTTGTGAGAAGAGGCTCTGTGAGAGCGAAGCTGTTTATCTGCATGAGGAAGAAGCCCAGCAAGGAAGCAAAGAAGGAAGTATAAAGAACTTTATTTGTGTTGCGAAAACCTTGTTATTATAAATAGTGCAGCTATATTATTTTGCTCCAAAGAAAAGCCTCCTATGAAAGAGATAGCATTGGTCTGTGTGTTTTTGTCCTTTTTATCACTTTGAACTACTGTGCTGGGTCACGCTGCTGCTAATAAGTTACTCTGCTGTACATTTATGAGGAGAGTCTTTCGTTAATAAGCCCTCTCATCCAACTATGTAGTATTTTAATGGCACAATGAGTGGCCCCAATTTACTCAGTGAGCTTCACAGGTGAGTGGGCAACTGAAGCCATGGTTGCCATAATGTATGAGAATACCCACCATACTCTGTCTACAACACCAATGTCATTTTCCCTGCTTACTTTTAAGACTTTCATAGCCTTCTCCAGCTTCTTCTTGTTCTTTGTGGTTTTCCTTCCTGTGGAGTATCGCACCATCAAGTCCCTTGCGGTGGGACCATCATCCTTGAAAAGGAGAGAACAGTTTAGGAATAAAATAAAGCTTCACTATAAAAAGAAGGCAGGCAATTAAAGTAGAACTTGCTCAGAAAAGAGGGTAATCAACATGGTAAAAGGTCTAGAAACCAAGTCCTATGAGGAGCTAGTTGCATGTTCAGTTGCAAGAAGACAACACAAAAATTGTGAAGGTCTTTAAGCTGCCAGTCACAGCACTTTCAGCCAAAGGAAATGGCTAGGCATGTAAACGCTGATTTCCCCCACACTCTGGCAACATGGAAATCACCATATTGACGGAGTTGAATGGCTTACAAAGTAAGCTGCAAGGTGATGGGCTGGCATTCAAAGATGTGAACTATAAGATATGTCCACATCTCACAATGCAGATCTTGGCCTATGGGGTCTGCGATCCCTTTCTGTCACTCTCACTCCACTTGGGTATATAAGTACTGTATATACTCGAGTATAAGCCTAGTTTTTCAGCCCTTTTTTTAGGCTGAAAAAGTCCCCGTCGGCTTATACTCGAGTCAAGGTAATTTAATATTTTACTCTTTATTATTTATTTATTTATTTCAAAGTTTTCTATATCGACCTTCTCAACCTCTTTGTGGGACTCAGCACGGTTTCCAACCATAAAAACACATACAATCATTAATATATCATAGTTCACAATTACAGTAACACATTTAAAATAACAATATATATAAAACTACGGTGGTCAGTCGTCATATTAAAATCAAATATACATCATCTTCCATCCAGAATCCTAGGGTGTTGTCTCATTCATCGAAAGCCTGTCTCCACAACCACGTCTTCACCCGTTTCCTAAATGCCAGGATAGACGGGGCGGTTCTGACCTCCGGTGGGAGAGAGTTCCAGAGTCGCGGGGCCACCACCGAGAAGGCCCTGTCCCTCATCCCCACCAGGCGCACTTGCGAGGCCGGTGGGACTGAGAGCAGGGCCTCTCCAGACAATCTTAATAATCTTGATGGTTCGTAGGGGAGAGTACGTTCAGAGAGGTAAACAGGGCCGGAGTCGTTTAGGGGTTTATAGGTTAACACCAGCACTTTGAATTGTGCTCGGAAGCTAATTGGCAGCCAGTGGAGCTGGTGTAACAGCGGAGTGGTGTGCTCCCTGTACCCAGCACGCGTTAGTAATCTGGCTGCCGCGCATTGGACTTGCTTTCATTTATTATTTTATTCTATTTATTATTATTACATTTATCATTTTACTCTATTATTATACATTTATTATTTTACTGTATAATTGTTGTTATAGCTACATTCATTATTTTGCTCTTTTTATTATTATTATTACATTTATTATGTTACTCTCTTTATTATTATTGGAAGGATATATAAGCACATTTACATTGAAGAAGGTAAATAATCATTTAATCAGAGTTGGAAAATCTTATCTTAAATTACCATTTTTGTAAATATTCAAAAATATATAATGAATGATTCCTCAATTAATGTAATTTAATTGGTATCTATTTTTATTTTGCAATTTACCAGTAGCCTCTGCATTTCCCACCCTCGGCTTATATTCAAGTCAATCCATTTTCTCAGTTTTTTGTGGTAAAATTAGGTGCCTTGGCTTATATTCAGGTCAGCTTATACTCGAGTATATACGGTACATCCTTTCCCACTCAAACCATGCTAGACAACAGAAAGCTTCATCACACAGAGTAGGGTATTATTACAAGCCAATGGGATTATATGGAAAGGGGTGCAATCTGGAAACAACAAACACATCTTTGTTCCAGTTTATGAGAACTGTAGGTCCCATCTACACTGCCATATAAAATCCAGATTATCTGATTTAAACTGGATTATATTAGTCTACACTGCCATATAATCCAGTCCAAAGCAGATAATCTGGATTTTATATGGCAGCGTAGAAAGTTAGGCTACATCAAGTTGATTCTCCAGAAAAAAAGATAATACTACCAACAAATTGAAAAGGCCCAGGAAAATAAAAAATCACCTCAAGACGTGCCTCCAAATCATTTTATCAAGATCTTATTCCAGGTTGGGAATGCACTGACCTCTGAATCAGAATCACTGTCCTTTTTTTCATCTTCGTCTTTTCCAAGGAAAAACTTCAAGGCAGCAACTAGTATCTGGATAGATGGGTATACTAATTACTATTAGAAATGCTATAACTTGGCAATATTTTCACTCGCTTGCAAAAAGGCAGGTGGTCTGTACCTCTATGGTGTTCCCAGACAAGGAAATTGCTTTCCTTACACCAGTAAATGAGGCACATCAGAGTCGGATGAAGTCAAATCCAAAGCAGACACATTCCTGGTGTGAAACAGCCATTATTTCCAAAGTAAACAGAACTGAAGCTGTGTTTGTACTGGAGGGCAAGGCAGGACTGTTCCAAGATCTATTCATTAAGATTTCAAACTCATTTTCTTTCAAATTTTCAAATATCTTAAATTAATCCTTATTCTTAGAATTCTAGCAATAACAAATAAGTAAAGGTAAAGGTTTCCCCAACATTAAGTCTAGTTGTGTCAAACTCTAGGGTTTGGTGCTCATCTCCACTTCTAAGCTGAAGAGCCGGTGTTGTCCAAAGGCACCTCTGAGGTCATGTGGCTGGCGTGACTGCATGGAGTGCCATTACTTTCCCACAGAAGTGGTACCTATTGATCTACTTTGCATGTATTTGAACTGCTAGGTTGGCAGGAGCTGGGCCTAACAGCAGAAGCTCACCTCACTCCCCAAATTCAAACCATCAACTTTTCGGTCAGCAAGTTTAGCAGCTCAACGGTTTAACCCGCTGCATCACCAGGGGCCCCAATAACAAATAGGAGGTTCAATTTTGGCCCAAAACACTATACCCAATATTATGGTGATTTTGAAGTCTAAACTGTAGCCAGAAACAAATGTTATGTGTTAGCAGAAGGTGCCACGCAACCCTGTTGTTCCACAATAGACTAACATGATCAGCCACCTGCACTTTGTCAAAAATGCAAATTTGTGTATTATTTTAGTTCCTCACCTTTGTGACTTTGGAAAAGCAAGCTGTAGTGATGACATTCACTGTTTTAGCATCATTCCTGTTTTGAAAAACAAACCAAAATAAAACCAATTAAACAGAAGCAAGCTTGAAGGATACTTCATGCTTCCTTTTCTGTGGCAGTTGTTTGTTTTTGCACATGTGGATACTTGGAAATCTGTCTGTGACCTACCAGATATTCCTTCTGTACAGCTCTATCATCACATCCAATGATATCTTGGCTGCAGTTGGGTTACTGTCTTGTAGCATTGTGTACATAAAATTCTGAAGTGTCTGAAAAACAACAAGAAAAGATTACCAAGTGAATAATTATCATCAGTACTGAGAAAAAATCAAACCTGATCCTCCATGCACACAAAAGGAAGACGACTTACTGTGTTCAGTTTATTATTTTTGTGCTTCGCATTGATGTTTTTTATATCGGTCACAATGTGGGTGTACAATGTCTACCAAAAAAGGGGAAAAAAGAACATTAGTGCATATTAACACTGGGAAAGAAAATGTTGGAAATCCTTAAGTCTCCAAAGTAAATGAACTGCAGTTTGCTTTTGTTAATCCGTAAGATTTGCATCCCAGGATTCAACCAAACACAGTTTAAAAATATTCAGGAAAAAAAATCCTAAAAGCAAATATTGAAAATGTAGACGCTTATTGCTATAAATGACAACAGCAGCAAGGATTACCTATGCTCAAAGATGGAACAACTCAATGATTCATTCCCAAGATGATTGCCTTACGAAAATAAGTGAACTTGCGGAAATGGATAAACTTACTATGTTGATTAAAGAGAAACCTCTAACTAACTTTAAGAAAGACAGGGGGCTAATGTGTTCCTCCAGCAAAGATAGGGCCAAGTCTCCATCACTGTTTTTTTGGACTAGAAGTGTGTTATGATGTGGGGAAAGGATGTACCAATGGTTCCTTTTCACTAAATGGGTGCACAAAACTGAGAGAATATAACCACCAGACAAATAATGTAAATCCCTAAGATTAGATAATGTAGATTAGTTTTTTGTTTGTTATTTCTATGTTTAGGATGTAGCAGTATTATTCTAGAGAAAGTATTTTTAATCTTTTGTTGTTATGGATGTTGTTTTATTTATTTTTTTTGTATGTTTATATGTAGGTTTTGTTTTAATTTGTCTTAATAAAAAAATTATCATTAAAAAGGGAGTGGAAACTTGGCAGAAAATAGAAAACTGATCTCTTTTGGAAGGTCTACCCAGTCAACATTTAACTATGAATCACATCACGTCCTGTATCTATTCTATTTTAATATTAGTTTTGTGTATTTTAATATGTATATTCCAAAAATACACTTTAATATACTTATTTTACTGAATGTTTTATGATGATATGTTCTTAACTATGTTGTGCCCTGCCTCAAGCTGTGAGGATTGGTGGGAAAGAAATAAAATTATTTATTACTAGCCGTTCCCCGCCACGCGTTGCTGTGGCCCACATGGCTTTTCTGTGTGGGAGGTTTGGGCCAATTCTAACATTGGTGGGGTTCAGAATGCTCTATGATTGTAGGTGAACTATAAATCCCAAATGTCAAGATTCTATTTTCCCCAAACTCCACCAGTGTTCACATTTGGGCATATTGAGTATTCATGTAGAGTTTGGTCCAGATCCATCATTGTTTGAGTCCACAGTGATCTCTGGATGTAGGTGAACTACAACTCCAAAACCAAAGGACACTGCCCACCAAACCCTTCCAGTATTTTCTGTTGGTCATGGGAGAACTGTGTGCCAAGTTTGCCCCAGTTCTGTCATTGGTGGGGTTCAGAATGCTCTTTGATTGTAGGTATAAATCCCAGCAACTACACCTCCCAAATGACAAAATCAATTTTTTGAGTGACAGACATACATTGGGTTGTTAGGTGTCTTGTGTCCAAATTTGGTGTCAATTCTTTCAGTGGTTTTTGAGTTCTGTTAAGCCCACAAACGAACATTACATTTTTATATAGATGATGATGATGATAATATTAATATTATTAATAATATCTGGCAGAAAAAGGGGCAGAAGAATGCAAAAAATGAAATATATTATTTATTTATTTATTTGCCCTATTTATATGTTACATTTCTGTACCCAGAATGGGACTCAAGGCAGCTTACATATAGGCATTCAGTAGAAAAATGAAATTACCAAGGACAAATTCAGCATTCTTGTTCTCCTCAACAGGCAACATGGAAAAAAACTGTCCTTCTCTAGTTACTGCATGTACTTGTTTATAAGTCGAGACATTTTAATCAAAAATAGATCCCCCATAAGCTATGTTGCCTTATCTAGGTGTCAACCTAAGTACTGTACCTTAACTTTGATCAAATAAGGAGCCACAGCCTTCACTGAGTAGAGTGGCAAAAGGCAAGATCGTAGTCCATTCTGGGAGAACCTAAATGAAGCACCAATTCTCTCTACTCTCTTCACAGTGGCACCACTTCTGGCTCTTATTGAATGACTGGTTGGGAAAAAAGTGCTAATGACCAGGAGCAGGTTGCCCCAAGGCAGCGCTGGCACTTTCTCCCCACTGTGGGATGACTCTCAATTTAAACAAGCATATACAGTATCTTCTCTGCTTCCTTTCAAGATATACCTCTTTCACCAACAAGTGGTCAATTGGCTTCCCTCTCTTTTGGATGTAGGAGGACATCCACCAACCTCTCAGGCAGCTCTACAATCAAAGAGCAGAATAGGCTGCCAAGAAGGTTGTACCCACTACCCTCATCCTCTAGGAATTGAATACTGAGCTGATGGAAATCTTTCAAGAAGGAACTCCATCGTATTTGTAGAGGACACACGCACATCACTTTTTTTCACCATCTTGTTAAAAACTTCCCCATTCCAGCAAAGGAAAGAAAGCAAAGACAAGGATAGCTCTAGGAGGTGGGAAAGAAATAAATTTGGCACTTACTTTTCGTAAGAGTTTGTCATGACAGCGAAGGAGTTCAAAGAAAAGCTCCAACAAGCTTGTAGGGTTAATTAAGTTCTTATTCCGCAACAGGATCAAAGCTTTGCAAAAGGTCTGCAAAATGAAGAAAAAAGTTATCAAAGATTGTAAAAAACATAACAAGACTATGTTAAGCCATATTTAGGATTGAAATAGTTTGTAAAAATCTCCCTGTGTATTCCCAAGTACTTTGTCAAAGTTCCTCCCCATTTGGAAACATTATCTCCCTGCTCTTCCCTTGTTTTGGCCCTGATGGCTTGCGGATACTGTAGTCAAAAAGGTTTTCCAAGCTCTGCAAATGTTAGCGTATGAACATGAGACTCACCATCCGAAGATCAGCATCCAGGACTGTATGATTATAGGAGAGAAGCTCCTTCAGTTGTTGTGGAAAGTCTGCAAGATGTTGAGGGTAGCAATGGCCAACCTGTCTCAAATTAAAAGAATTGATAATAGAAAGCATCTCCATTTATTACAGATATTGCATAACTTTATTTTTAATTGCATATAACATATCATGAGTAAGAGGTACAAGGATACAAAGTAACTATTTTAATCTTGAGACTATTGGTTTTCCGAAAAATTAAGGACACTGACAGGCAGGGGGAAAAACAACATCCTTCTTTCACATCTCATAACATCAAATTCAGCTGAAACATCTCTTCTATTAGTTGTCAATCATTTATATAGTCCTGCTATGTAACTCAGCCCAAGATTCTTGATTGGTGTTCCAAATAAGCCTGGAAATGTTACTCATTTGTATTACAACTCTCAGAAGCCATCACCCAACATGGATGGATGACCATGTTGGCTGATGGCTAGTCAGAGTTGTGATTCAATTCCTCTTTGCTAAAATTTGCACTTTCAACCCTATCTATGATATTAATTCTTCCAACTCCTCCCACTCTAGATTTCTTATTTCCTCAACCTTTAAAAAGACCATACCCTTTCTCCAGAAATACAATAATTTTATGTTGATGTTTTAGCTCATAATTTTAAGAAAAGCTGTTCGACTGTTTACATTGTTTGTGAATGTTCTATATATTTACAGATCTAAATACCCCAAGGGACCAGGTACTGTATGATCATGCAAGCTAAGGGTTACTGTTTGGTTGGGAGACTACCAAGTGCTGTAGACTAAATTTCAGATGAAAGACCCTTTGACTATCCCTTTCCTAAGAAAATCCTGTGAAATTCATGGGGTCTCCAAAGACTGACAGCATAAGTTGAAGGACCAAACCATACACATACTCACAGATATGTACAAGTCTCTGATCATTATATTTTTCTTTTCTTCATCAGACCCAAGCTAATCTGAACAAAACTCATTACATGTACATATACACAAACCACACGGCTTTACCTGTGACAAGAACATCACCAGTTCGGCCAGATCTTTATTGGGCTTAGCTGGCTGCAGTTTGAAGATCTCCACATTGGACTGGTAATGGCGATACTGCTGAAGAAACTGAAAGAAGCAAAAAGCAAAAACAGAGAGAGTATAAAAGCATTCCTTCCATTCTAGTTTTTTCAAGTGTTTTGAAAACATGTATTATTTTACTCCTTTTTAGTTACATCAACAGGAACAGGTGAAATGTAAGAAAAGAATATTCCTTTAATTTAAGAATAATTGTTGCAAGTCAGTTTTCATGGTCAAGCAGGGATTCAAACCTTGGCGTCCAGAGTCGGAGTGCAATACTCAAGCTTTAATATGTATCTTTTATGGAACTGCATTTTAATATACATGTGTGTAGATTTTTTAATAGTATTTGTGCTGTGCTGAACTGTAACCTGCCTCGAGCCAAGCGGTACCTATTGATCTACTCATGCTTGCATGTTTTCGAACTGCCAGATTGGCAGAAGATGGGGCTAACAGCGGGAGCTCACCCCTTCACCAGATTCGAACTGCCAACCTTTCAGGCAGCAAGTTCAGCCACCAGAGCCTTTTCTACACTGCCATATAAAATCCAGATTATCTGCTCTGAACTGGATTATCTTCAATCCAAATAGGCTATCTCCTATCCAAATGCTAACCAGTATTCAAATCCAAATGCTCAGTATTGTCCCCAATGTTGTTTAACATCTACATGAAGCCATTGGGTGAGATTATCCAGAGTTTTGGAGTTCGATGCCATCTGTATGCAGATGATGTCCAACTCTATTACTCCTTTCCACCAGATGCTAAGGAGTCTGTCCAGGTCGTGAACCAGTGCCTGGCAGTCTGGATGAGGGCGAACAAACTGAAGTTGATTCCTGACAAGAGAGAGGTCCTCCTGGTCAGTCGCAAGGCCGAACAGGGTATAAGGTTACAGTCTGTGCTGGATGGGGTCACACTCCCCTTGAAGGCACAGGTTCACAGCTTGGGAGTCCTCTTGGACTCATCATTGAGCCTGGATCCTCAGGTTGCAGTGGTGGCCAGGGGGGCTTTTGCATAATTAAAACTTCTGCGCCAGCTGCGCCCGTACCTTGGGAAGTCAGACTTGGCCACGATGGTCCACGCTCTCGTTACATCCAGGATAGACTACTATAATGTGCTCTACATGGGGCTGCCTTTGAAGACAGTTCGAAAGCTTCAAATAGTCCAGCGAGAGGCAGCCAGGTTAATAACTGGGGCGGCATACAGGGAGCACACAACTCCCATGTTACTTCAGATCCACTGGCTGCCTGTTTGCTACCGGGAACAATTCAAAGTGCTAACTTTGCCTATAAAGCCCTAAATGGCCCTGGCCCAATTTACCTGTCTGAACGCATCTCCCCCTATGAACCATCACAGAGATTAAGATCCTCCTGCTTTCTGTCCTGCCATTGTCACAGGCATGATTGGTAGAGACGGGAGACAGGGCCTTCTCGGTGATTGCCCCCTGACTATGGAACTCCCTTCCTGGTGAGATCAGGTCGGCCCCCTCCCTCCTGTCCTTCAGAAGGATGGTAAAAACCTGGCTATGGGACCAAGCTTTCGGGACAGGGCAATAAAGCAGCAATAGAAAAGATTACCAGGCCAATTAGATTTGCCGCTGATGACCAGGATGATTTTAAATGGTGTATTTTAATATTGAGACATATGTTTTTTAATGTCAATGTCTGCGTATATTAATTTGTGTCCTGGCATTGAATGTTTGCCATATATATGCTGTGCTCCATTCCGAGTCCCCTTAAGGGTGAGAAGGGCAGAATATAAATCATAGAATCATAGAATCCTAGAGTTGGAAGAGACCTCATGGGCCATCCAGTCCAACCCCCTGCCAAGAAGTAGGAATATTGCATTCAAAACACCCCTGACAGATGGCCATCAGGTTTCTGTTTAAAAGCTTCCAAAGAAGGAGCCTCCACCACACTCCAGGGCAGGGAGTTCCACTGCTGAACGGCTCTCACAGCCAGGAAGTTCTTTCTCATGTTCAGATGGAATCTCCTTTCTTGTAGTTTGAAGCCATTGTTCCGCATCCTAGACTCCAAGGCAGAAGAAAACAAGTTCGCTCCCTCCTCCCTATGACTTCCTCTCACATATTTATACATGGCTATCATATCTCCTCTCAGCCTTCTCTTCTTCAGGCTAAACATGCCCATCTCCTTAAGCCGCTCCTCATAGGGCTTGTTCTCCAGACCCTTGATCATTTTAGTCGCCCTCCTCTGGACACATTCCAGCTTGTCAATATCTCTCTTGAATTGTGGTGCCCAGAATTGGACACAATATTCCAATATAAACAATCTATACACATAATAAAAGTGAAAATCTGTATGTGGCACAGGTTTCTGTTCACACAGACAGCCTCCAGACTCCACAAATAGGCTATTGTTTCCGGTGCTGAAAAGACAGCAAGTCACTCTCTCGAAGGACATTGCAGGTTATAGCAAGCACATCCCAGTGTTCCTTTCTCTCTTCATTTGCATGACCTCACCCACTGCTTCTCCCTTATCCTGTTCCAACCCTTTCCTATGGCACACAGCAGAGGAATTGATCAGGAACTGAACATACTGGAGAGGTTTAGAGACAATTCACAATGATTTATAGGAGTTGTAGGGACTGGGATGCATAGTTCACCTGCAATCTAAGAGCACTCTGAACTGCACCAATGATGGACCTGGAACTCACTTGGCACACAGACCCACCATGGGCAATTGTCCATACTTGCAGAGTTTTGGGGTGATTACCTTGAGAGTTGTAGTTCACCCTTATCCAGAGAACAGTGATCTCAGCCAACGATATATCGGGACCAAACTTGACACACAGAACCAACATGGCCAATTGTGCATACTTGCTGAGCTTGGGGGTAATTGCCCTGGGAATCTGGGAGTTGTAGTTCACCCCTTCCTAGATATTCACTGAATCCAGCTGCTGTCGGATCTGGTCCAAACTTGGCACACAGATCCAACATGCCTAGCTTTAAGTAATGGCAGGGTTTGGGAACGACTGGCCCGCAATTCTGGAAATTGTCGTTCACCCACATCCTTATGCATTTTCTAATGGGAGTATTCATTAAAAAACAAAAAGACTGTTTGTTTTCCTAATAAATAGCATTACACATTACCAAACTGATATTACCAAACTTCACAAAACAAACAATGCCTTCTCAAATAACTTGGGCACCGCCGGGTCCCCAAGCTAGTTTAATTTAATTTAATAAACATCCCATGTGAAACAACATTCAATCTACAGCAGGCCTCTTCAAGCTGCGGCCCTCCAGCTGTTTGGGCCTTCAACTCCCACAATTCCTGATAACTGGACAAGCTCAATTAGGGTTTCTGGGAGTGGGAGGCCCAAACAGTTTTGAGTTGGATAGGCCTTTCCCCTTTCCATTAGCTCACCTCCTCGGTATACGAAGGCGGATCCCGCTTGATCAAGTTCTGCAGCTGCGGGAGGTTCAGAGGCAACTTATTATTATTGCGGCCGGCCATAGTTCTCGAATAACCAGCAGCAAGAGCTTCAATTTGCACGGCTGCTTCCTAACCGGAAGAAACACGTGAGCCTCTCCTGGGCGCCGCCATCTTGGTTACGGGTAGTGAGAAGGGTCATAAATATTTCAAGCGCAATCGCTTTCCCATCAGCTGGAAATAGCGCCACCCTCTTTAAGTCAGGCGGCTACGGGTACTGGGAAAGGTCAGGCTTCTTCCAAACGCAACCGTTTACATTGCTAGTTGGAAGTAGAGCCTTTCTGCTGCAGTTTCTCCAATGCCTTCCCATTGATCACAATAGATTGGACTCCTATTGAACCCTAAAGGCTTTCAAAAATGACTAATTATAATCTAATGATGGAGGCCAATGTTTAACTGGATCTTATAGCCTTTTTTATGATGTTTTTAGTGTATCAAATGTCTGTATTATCACATAGTTTTATATGTATTGATAACGTATTGAGTTATTATTAACATGGTTTTGCGCTTTATTTTTTCTTACGTATCATGGTATTATGGTTTACGTATCATGGCCTTCTCAGTGGTGGCCCCCCGGCTGTGGAGCACCCTCCCTGTAGACATCAGACAGGCGCCCTCCCTTATGTCATTCCGCAGGAGCCTAAAGACATGGTTATTCGAGAAGGCGTTTAACTAAGTGCTACAACAATTGGCAATGACGACTGGAACGGAATATGGATTACGAGATTGGTTTATGATTCTACGATGAGACGGCGCGGATGATTTAGTGTAATTGTATTATTGTTATATTATTGATAGTTATGTTGATATTTTGTTGTGTTATTGCCTTATTGTAAACTGTTTTTATATGTTGTACACCGCCGTGAGTCGCCCTAGGGCTGAGAACGGCGGTCAACAAATGCAGTAAATAAATAATTAATAAATTATTTTTCTTCTGATTTGCTGTTTTAGTTTTCACTTTCTCTGGATCGTAAATGCGATTATTATTACTGTTTTTATATTAGGTTCTTGTGGGTTTTTCCGGGCTATCTGGCCATGTTCTAGAGGCATTTTCTCCTGACGTTTCGCCTGCATCTATGGCAAGCATCCTCAGAGGTAGTGAGGTCTATTGGAATTAGGAAAATTGGTTTATATATCTCATCAGCTTCGCTCATAAGGAAGCTGATGAGGAAACACAACATACAAGCTGATGAGGAAACACAACAAAAGATTCCCCCAGGCTCAGCCAGGCCTTTCAATGCTAATGTTGTGTCCAATATTGTGTCCAATTCTGGGCACCGCAATTCAAGAGAGATATTGACAAGCTGGAATGTGTCCAGAGGAGGGCAACTAAAATGATCAAGGGTCTGGAGAACAAGCCCTATGAGGAGCGGCTTAAGGAGCTGGGCATGTTTAGCCTGAAGAAGAGAAGGCTGAGACGAGATATGATAGCCATGTATAAATATGTGAGAGGAAGCCACAGGGAGGAGGGAGCAAGCTTGTTTTCTGCTTCCTTGGAGACTAGGACACAATGGAACAATGGCTTCAAACTACAAGAGAGGAGATTCCATCTGAACATGAGGAAGAACTTCCTGACTGTGAGAGATGTTCAGCAGTGGAACTCTCTGCCCCAGAGTGTGGTGGAGGCTCCTTCTTTGGAAGCTTTTAACAGAGGCTGGATGGCCATCTGTCAGGGGTGCTTTGAATGCAATATTCCTGCTTCTTGGCAGGGGTTGGACTGGATGGCCCATGAGGTCTCTCCCAACTCTATGATTCTATGATATCCAATTGAAAAATTCACACCTAACTCCAACAAACAAGAGTTCTTTCTCCCACCCTGAACTTTCCACATATATATAAACCCTATTTTCCTAGTTTCCAACAGACCACACAACCTCTGAGGATGCCTGCCATAGATGCAGGTGAAATGTCAGGAGAGAATGCCTCTAGAACATGGCCATATAGCCCGAAAAAACCTACAACCTAGTGATTCCAGCCATGAAAGCTTTCGAAAATACATTGTTTTTATATTGTTTTGAAGGCGACTGTAAGCCGGGATATATATAATTATTAAATGTTTCTTTATATTAATACATATTTATATATTTTATATTTATATTTATATTATTTCTATTTTATTTATATCAATAATATATGTATATTATTATTTAATAATTATTTATAATAATTATTAATTATTAATTAATTTATATTATTATAATTATTATAATATTATTATTATAATTATATATTTTAAATTATATAATTAATTATAATTATATAATTAAATCATATTATTAAATATATTATTATTAAATATATTTAAATATATTTAATTATATATTAAATAATTATTTCTATTTTATTTATATCAATAATATATGTATTTTTATTTATATTATTTATATTTGTAATTATTTTATTTATTTATTTTATAGTATACAATTATATATTTATGTAATATATAAATAAACATATTATTTAAATATATTATTTAAATATTATTTAAATATATTTAATATATAATTAAATAATTATTCCTGTTTTATTTATATCAATAATATATGTATTTTTATTTATTTATATTGATAAATATAATTTATATTTATATTTATTTTATATATAATATAATTATATATTTATGTAATATATAATTAAACATATTATTAAAATATATTATTTAAATATTATTTAAATATATTTAATATATAATTAAACAATTATTTCTATTTTATTTATATCAGTAATATATGTATTTTTTATTTTTTATTTATTTATATTTATATTGATAAATATAAATTATATTTATATTTATTTATTTTATATATGATATATTTATATATTTATGTAATATATAATATAAATCTACTCACATTTGCATGCTTTCGAACTGCTAGGTTAGTAGAAGCTGGGGCTAACATCAGGACCTTACGCCGCTCCCTGGATTCGAACCTGCAACCTTTCTTTTTTTTTTTTATTGATATTTTTTCAGACATTTTACATTGCATATAAAAAAGAAAACAGGGGGGGGGAAGGGTCAAAGGGGAAGGGGTATGGGTTTTGATGTGGGAAGAGCAAGGGAGGAGGTCGAGGTAAAGGGGGAGGGGTAAGGAATACGGGGAGGGGGGTCAGGGGAAGTGACCGGAAGAGAAGAAAGTGTGAGTTAAAAGAAAAAAAGGAAACGTTGACTTCCCAAGCACCCTCTAGTCACTGGTTTACATATTTCTTCGGATTCTTCTGTTTCTCTGATGTCTCTTCTTGTATGATCTCTATTGATACGTTGGACAGGTCTAGCATCAGTGGGATTTTCCTTTCTTTACAGTAATCGTTGAGTCCTGACCAGTTCGTCTTTTTTCTGGTGTTGTCTAATCTTTGGGACAAAGAGTCCATTTGAACTATCTCTAATATTTTGATAATCCAGTCTTCTGTCTCTGGGATTTCTTCTGATTTCCAGGATTTTGCCAGCAGTATTCTTGCGGCTGAACTTAGAAGGAAGAGTATTTTCTCCTGATTTTTATTTAGATCGGAGTTTGTTATACCTAATAAGTAGGTATCAGGGGTTTTAGGGAATTTTTTCTTTAGTATTTTTTTAGTAATGGTATGAATTTCTTTCCAGTATTTTTTTACTTTTTTACATTCCCACCATACATGGATGAAAGTTCCCTTTTCTTTACCACATTTCCAGCAGGTATTTGAAATTCCCTTATTAAATTTTGCTAATTTCTCGGGCGTGTAATACCATCGGTAGTACATCTTGTACCAATTTTCCTTTATATCACTAGCTAGACTGAATTTTATTTTGTTGTTCCATATATCTTCCCATTGGCTCATTAGTATATTGTGGCCTAAGTCTCTAGCCCATTGTACTTGGCAATTTTTTACTTGTTCGTCTTCTGTTGACCACTTTAATAGTTGTTGGTATAGTATTTTTATTAGTTTTTTCCCTTTTTCTAATATTAAGTCCCATATTTCTTTTTCTTGGCTGAAACCTACCTTTTCATCTTCTTTGAGCCCTTGTTTTATTTGGAAATATTGGAACCATGTTATTTTTCCATTTATTATTTTAAGTTCTTCTAGGGATTTTAAATTTGGCTTCTGTTCCTTTGTATCTTTCAATAATTGGTGATAAGTTAGCCAATTTTTTTCCCCCAATTCCCTTTTATGTCTCGCCTCAATCGGTGATATCCATTTTGGGATTTTGCTGTACCATCTATTTTTGTATTTCTCCCACGTCTTAATAAGTGCAGCCCTGATAAAGTGATTATTGAAGTTTTTTTCTATTTTTTTTTTATTATACCAAAGATAGCCATGCCATCCTGTCCTTAGGTCATGGCCCTCTAATGTTAATAGATTGTCATTTTTTAGTGTTGCCCACTCTTTAATTGCTACGAGGTTACAAGCCTCGTAGTATAGCTTTAGGTTGGGGAGTCCTAAACCTCCTCTTTTCTTTTCATCCGTAAGGATTTTGAAGCTAATTCTGGGTTTTTTGTTTTTCCATATAAATTTTGAAATTTTGAAAAGGTGGTCATTTCTTAAGATTGGAAGTGTTTGAAATAGAAGTAATAGACGGGGTAGGATTGACATTTTTATTACAGCTATTCTCCCTAAGAGGGAGAAATTTTGGTATTTCCACTTATCTAGGTCGTGTTGTATTTTTTCCATAATGGGATGTAATTGTGTTTTATTAAATTGATATTGCTTTGTGATATATAGATTCCTAAGTATTTTATTTTATTTTCAGTTTTTATTCCTGAGATTTCTTGAAGTGTTTCTTTTGATTTCTTGTCTATATTTTTCACTAATAATTTGGTTTTTTGTTTATTTAGCTTGAAGCCTGCCAGTCTTCCGTAAATTTTGATTTTTTGTAGCCAATTATTAATATTGTTTAAGGGATCCTCGACTATGCAGACCACATCGTCTGCATATGCTCTTACTTTGTAGTGTTGCTGCTTTAGCACCTGCATTCCTTTTAATTTCTGATCCCTATTTATGTCCCTGATTAACGTGGCTAATCAGGAACCTGCAACCTTTCGATCAACAAGTTTAGCAACTCAGCAGTTTATTATATGACCCATTATTATTATTATTATTATTATTATTATTATTATTATTAAGCAGAGGTTGAATGGCCATTTGTTGCAGGC